TTGAAAAGACTTCAAAAAGCTGAGCAAGCCGAGATTAAGAAGGCAGCTCGCGATTGCTAGCTTCAACTTCAAAAAGCAGCCCGTGTTGAGCGGGAGAAGGGTTGGGAGGAGACCAGAAAGCGGAAGGCTGCAGAGAAAGCCGAAAGAGAGCATTGTAGAAGCCTCCGCGACGCTGCCAAAGCTATACAATTGCCCCAATTGGGTAAGCGCAAAGCGTCAAAACCTTATAAGCCAGCTACAAAGCGTTAAAAGTGTGGTGGTGTTGCTCTAGCTGTGGTGGGAGCTGCAAGGGTTGCACGAGCTGCTCCACCGCGTAGTCGACGGCAACGACCGATAACGCCCTCTAAAAAAATTTCTAAATAAGCTAAAACTTTCGTAGGCCTGTATATAGTATAATCCTAGCTTTGCGCAATTTTATTACGATTTGTGGTGGCTCTATAGCCTCATCTTGTTGACTATATTAAGTTGTTGGGGGTGCTCAACTGGCGATGGTGCTCATCTGGTGCACGGGCACTGTAACTAGCCTAAAGCATTCATAAGCGTCGCCCAGAGCTTAAGATGAAGTTTAATCAAAAGTACGACTACAAGAGAGCCCTCTGTGAAGATCCTGAGCTTGTGCAGGGCTAGTTCTGCCTTGTACAAAATACTAAAGCCAAGTATAGGATCTAGGACGACGATATGTACAATTTTGACGAGACGGGCTTTATAATAGGCATGCACAACTCGTTAGTAGTAGTTACAGCCTCTAATTGTTAATTAAAGCTAAAATCTCTACAGTAGGGCAATAAAGAGTGGGTTACTAGCGTGGTTTGTGTTAGCGCAGCTGGCTGGGCGATCCCACCCTTCATCATCTTTTAGGGCAAGCACCACCTCTCTACCTAGTATAAGGAAGACAGCCTGCCTAGGGATTGGGTTCTCGCAGTCTCTGAGAATGGCTAGACAACAAACGAGCTTGGTATGAAGTGGCTAGAGCACTATAATAGGCATACAAAAGAGCGTACTGTTGGAGCCTATCGCCTACTTATTCTAGACAGTCATAAGAGCCACAACTTAGTCAACTTCTAGCAATACTGCACAGAAGCAAAGATTGTTACTCTATGTATGCCTCCGCACTCTTCCCATCTACTGCAGCCTCTTAATGTGGGGTGTTTTTCGCCTTTGAAGAGGGCATATAGGCGCCAAGCCGAGGAGCTGATGCCCAATGGGATCAACCATATAACCAAGATAGAGTTCTTGCCAGCCTTCTAGCAAGCCTATTTTCAGACAGTTACAAAGGATAATATCCTAGGAGGGTTTCAAGGCGCCGGATTGGTTCCACACGACCTAGAGGTGGTGACATCAAAGCTAGATGTTAAGCTGCGCACCCCTTCACCACCTGCTGCTGAAAATCTACACTAGCAGTCGCAAACCCCAAGCAACACCCTAGAAATAGGGCTGCAATCGACGCTGGTGAAGCAGAGGATTCAAATGCACCTAGATAGTTCACTAACAAGTATGCTAGGTGCTGTTGAAAACTTAGTTAAAGGTGCGACTACTATTGCGCATGAGTTGGTGTTAGTTAAGAAACGGGTCTCTAAGCTTGAAGCAGCAAATAAAGCCGCCACGCGAAGGAGATTATACAAAAGAAAGCGGCTATAGAAAGGAGAGACCCTAACGATTAAAGAAGGAGAGAAAATAGCAACTCTAAAGGAGTCTAGGGCGCGTGGTAGTGGGAAGAAGGCAAAGAAGGGAGAGAGCGCTGAAGTAGGCGAACCGTCGCAAAGGCGCTATAGACGCTGCGGTGAGACTAGACACAACTCGCGCACCTGCAAGCAAGATAAAGAGGTTGATTCTGAATAAATTAGCCTTTTCTAATTTTAATTTACTGTTGTTGTTGCGCTGTAATGGTTGCGCAACGGTGGTGAGGTTGATGGGGGCTTGGCATTTTCGGTCACTCGCTATTCTCGGCCACTCGCTATACTTTGACGTTATATATATATGCATTACAATACAGATTTGGCAAATATATGAAATTGCAGATTTTTTTGGTTTGTTGAACATGCACTATTCACCAAGTATCCACACCGAGCACTGATTCTCGCTTTGGTTTCCTCGGCTTCAATCGGTGATATGATATGTGATATGTGGTACGTATTCTTGGCTACTCGTACAACGTGGTACAAGTACCGAGTTGATGTAATCTTTGATTTTTGTAACAAGATGTGGGACTAGGTACCGATATGAGGAGTCTCGAAATAGTCAACCAAACACAAACGCACTTGAACGGTAGCCAGGTGACGCAGAGTACATGAGAGACAAGCAAAAAAAAAGAGCCGGATATATCGTAAACGACGTGGTATTCACCTCAAACCCCTGTTATATACAATGTGAAATCCATGCCATCAAGCAAGACACCACTTGCTCAAAGTCTCGCGCCCTCGCGCCCCGCCAACCTCATCCCCTCCTCGCCATCCACCAGCACACACCAGCCCTCGCTGCCCCATCCGCCGTCGCCAGCAATCGCCGCCTTGAAATTCGCTTTCGCATAGTCGAGGATCTCGTTGTCAAAACTGCCAGGCTGCAACCACACAGCAGGGATGCCCGCCTCTTTCGCCTCGCGCAGCAGCGTGCGCGTTACGCTCGGCGGCGTAATCACAGACAGCGAGTAGCTCGACGCAGGCGGATCGTGAAGCGCGCCTGGCGTTGCTACCGTTGCGTGCTGCTGGTTCAGGATCGTGACGCTGGGGGTGCGCGGGTTCAGCGGTGTTGCGGGCAGCGAGTGCTGGAGGTACCATGCGAATACTAAGTAGCACCGTGGGGAGTTAGTAAGTTGCTACTTACTTATATTTACAGTCCCCCATTATCCTTTGTTTTTGTTTTTTCTTGGTTCCAAGAAGAATAGTGATAGAGTGAACAAGCATACATGGATTGTTGCTAAGAGAAAGAAAGAGAAAAAAATGATTGGGATTCAGCATACTCTTGTGTCCGTATTTGCGCGGATCCGACGATGCGCCTGCGACGGCGAAGCGCGGGGATGAAAAGAAGGTTTTGAGTGCTGCTTCCATTTGCTCGGTGCGGGGTTGGCCTCTGGTTTTCGGCATGTAGGAATGTTATTTTTTGTTTCTTTTAAACGGTGCAAATTTAGAAAATGGGTAGCTGGAAGTTGGGGGTCGCAATGGATGGAGATGTTTGGATAGTTGTATGTTTTTATTAATGGAGGTACGTACCTAGGTAAATGATGAACCGCGGCACGGCCGTCACGTCATCGGCGTCACATGCCCAATTGGGGGGATACGTACCAGACACTTTTATTACCACAAATCAACTTGGGAAGGTCGTTGCAATATATCTCTATTTCACGCATATATTAATGGTCTAGAATCATTTGTATCCCAAGATAGCATGTCTAAGCTGGAAAGCGGTGCGGGAAATCTAGTGACGTGCGTGGAATCTCAACACTGAGTAGAGACGCCTGTATCGAATCATCTATTCCCTCTTCCATACGGCTGTCGCAATTTCCCTCGCTGCATGTTCCTTGGCTACTCGCCGTTCTTTCTGTCATGATGTCCATGTTCGGCTGGGCTTGTATGGAACTCGCATCATCAACCTTTTGATGAGATTGAACAGTCTGAGAAGAGTTGCAAGTCGGTTGAGATCGAAGAACGGGATGCTTTCTGTCAGCAATGTCGAGCACAGCCAAAAGATCATTCTTTCGTGTGAGTGGGTAGTCATCGCGAGCACCCGTCCAATCCCCTGCCCCGACCGCTTCATGCGCCAGTCGCTGAAGCTGCAGTGTGTCATTAGAGATCCATTCCAGGCTGGAAAACGGCTTTCGGTTCCGCTGTATCCTTGTAGTAGCCGCCGGTAGACACGCTGAGATGAGCATGATGAGACCGCCAATAGAGAAAACGACGCTTAAGCCAAGTACGTTGAAAGACGTGTAGGAGTCCGACCGGATCTTTTGGTTGCCGCAAACGGCACGTGCCTCTGCGGATGTAGGTGGCGAGTAGAAAGAGGTTGCGTTTGGATCCGCTGGCCCAGTAGCCTGATCAAGTATTGCGCGCTGGAGGTCGGCCAAGGTGGTTCTGAACCAATGCTGTAATTCAATCTCCCACTGGTTGTTGGGTAAACCATACTGACCAACTCCGGAGAGGGTGTCGCTTGCAAGAAGAGCCCCGCCTCTCAAGATGGTAACAATCTCAGTGAACCCATTTGCCATGAACTGGATCGCAAGTGCAGACCATCCGAAGACGTCTTTGTTATGTGGCTCCGTGAATATGGTCGATGAGGCTATTCTTGCTGCTTCAAATATCCCCATCAATGGCGTACAGCTTATGTTTTTGGGGAGCGTCGGGTTGCAAAACTGGTATTGTTGAGCGCATGCTAGTGCTTTCGCTGACTGGTCACCGAAATAGCTGGTGATGTTGCCATAGGTTGTAGAAGAATTGAACGGTCCCTCTTGTGCCGTAAACCAAGGATCAGAGACAGGTGTGGCGTACACAATACTGTCTAATTCCAAGAAAAAGACAGCGATATCGGCATTTTGTACCATAAGCTCAGGTATCGGCTGCCATCTATTAATCATGTAGGATAGCTCTGGCACCGATTGCCAATTGGCGATTGCACTAGAGCTAAATCAGTGCCAGATCAAATACCATCAGCAGGTACATACCTGACTGTGTACTCATTGCGTGCTGTTCGACTTGAATACCCGATTCCGTAATCAAAAATCATACTGCATCCATTCGCGTCGTCGCCACATTCAGTTGGGTTATCTCCATACTGATATATCAAGGTTTTGCTATTTTCCGTAGTCTGGTTACGAATGTAGCCTTCGCTAAGTATAGGAGCACATTGGTTGACAGTGCGGTATAGGAATCTGGAAGAAGGCGGCGAGTTGATTCCCAGGTCGTAATGGCTGTTGAGATAGCCCGAGTCTAGGCGAATAGAATCATTCTGAGACCGACAAATTGCGTCCTGTCCTGCAAATGGACATGGACCACCTGTTGTGACTGTCACGGGAAGGGCACTTCGGACAAAGGTGCGACAACCCTCTGTTGATCCGTGTGCTGAATAGCAGTTTGCCTCGTAGTTGAAGCTCGATCTGATCCTGCTAGCACCATAGTATTGACTCGCGGCGATGTTATCTGCGTTCAAGAGAGAGCTGTTGAAGGTGGAACATTTATCACCGACGATGAGGACTTCGCCTCCCCTTGACGTGGCAACTCGCGAGGAAAAGATACCTGCTGCAGCAAATGCGGTAAAAGTAGCCAGACTCGCCACCAGCGGTATTGAAGTCGATTTGACGGAGGTAGTCAAAGAGATCTTGCGCCAAGCCCATGACAATTTTACCAGCCGCCATAGTGCAGCGGCACTAGTATCGGAGCTGCGAAGTATTGCTTGTTGCTGGTGGTAAATTGCACCCTGGGGTGCTTGCCGGCTTAGTGTTTGATGGACCGTAAAGGATACAATGCTCCAGAAACACGTGCCGGTAAATGTAACGAAAAGAGCCAAGAAAGCGATGAGTAACCCGCCATTCTCTAGCGTGGTTGTGTAGGTCAGTCCAGCCACGGCGCCATGAGACCAGTTGGTCCAGATTCCAAGGTAGACCGACTGTTCATTCGATGCCATGACGACAGGGCGTATTGAAGTGCGAACCTGATTTCAATGATTAGGTAAATTCTATGCTACTCGTGAATCCGCCTTGTTGAAAGCTACTTATGTAGGCGGCAAAGGATAAAATGAGATTATCGTTTTGCTGTATTGGGCTGCACGTCTAGACGCATCTTCCCAAAATATCAGTCTTGAGAGTTCACCGGTTAGTGCATGGCCAGGCGCAGCGGCATCGTGTAACGCATGACAGTGGTTGGAGATAGCCTGCCAAGATGAGAGTACAGTATGCAGTTTTTTGTAGAGTATGATAGGTGCTTGGCTGGCAGGATGTCAACATTGCCACCATGCAGTACTACCCGCGAGTGGCAAGCGAGTAAGCCGTTTTGTGGGGGCTGAGCGCAAGGCTGAGTTGTTTATCGGGGGCCGAAAGCGACCTTGATCGGATACGGAAGCTGAATTGGTTCAAGTGCAGAGTGTGTGAGAGTAATATTCGCGCATGCCTTGTGATGTCATTATCGACGATTCAACTCATTTTTCCTAATGAGGAAGCGGCAAGGTTTGACCAGACTGAAAAAGGCAGATTCTACATAGGGCAAAGTAGCTAATATCAAGTATGAAAATTCAAGACAATCGTACTTTTTATTGGAGTCACAGCCATCCTCCTATGTTGTATGGTTCTCTGCAAGGGAATAATTCCACTCACAACCACAATCTGCTCAACACACCTACCAAGGCTGCACCCCATCTTTGTTGATGACTTTACCCGCATCTCCATCCCTCTTTCCCTCGATCACATCTTTGATAAACTCTCCGCCAACGCTCGGCTCACCCGCACCCATCTTCCTCATAAATTCGGCAGTCATACCTCCAAGTCCAGTAGCCAAGAAGCCAGGACTGATAGCGAAAACCTTGACACCATCCACCGCGAGCATCTTCTCCCAGCTCAGCATCACCATGTTCAACGCAACTTTACTGGACCGGTAGGCCGTTGGAGTCCATTGTGGAGGCTTCGGCCAGCCTTTGGGCTGTTCTTTGGCGAACAGGCTGGCACTGGCATCGCCGCCGCCAGCGCAGTTCTCCAAGGAAGAGAGACCAGAGGTTACAAAGAGCAGGCGCGGGTTGGAGGAAGCAATCAGCAGTGGTGCAAAGGTCTGTGTGACGACTTGGGTCGAGGTGACGTTGAGGGAGTGGGTTTTTTCCCATGCTGCGCGGATGCCTTTGGGACTGGGATCCTCACGTATCATGCCATCGAAAGATCCGCCTTTGGTTTTGTTAACAGTCTTGTCTATCTGATCTGACGGGTCACCACATACCGGCATTGTTCACCAGAGCATCAAGACGCCTGTACTTGCTCTCGACATGCTTGAATGCTCTCTCAATGGACTCGTCGTCTTCGATATCGATCTGAATGGGCTCAACATCTGACTTTGAAGCCGAGACTTCGCTTTTGAGCTTTGAGATCGCGTCATTTGCTTTTTCGAGCGAGCGGCTGCCCATGAGGATTTTGTGGGGCTGCGACGAGGCATATAGGGCTTTTACGCTTTCATAGCCGATGCCTGTGTTGCCGCCAGTGATCTTTGGGTAGGCCGAGAATTAGTAGCTGTTGTTGAATCACGTGTCTGCCACTACTAACAAGAATGATAGAAGAATCCGCCATGTTGATTGCAGTATTTGTAAAACTATGGAGGTAAGGTTGTAATAGTTTTGCTTGTAGATGATATTGCGATGGATTATTCTTGCTGTACGGATATAGTAATCTTTATACTAGATACGCCCGGGTTTAGAACAAGTCCCACACGGAGTTAATCCTATGTGCGTTGGATATAGCGTTCAGGATAGCGGGCCTGACAACGAAAAAAGAGGACACGCGTATGAAGGCCCGGAAATAGTTATTAGCCAGTCAGTTGTATACAGGTGAAGCGAACATCTTTAAGAAGATCGTCTACCCCGCATAATATGAGATGACGACACCTGGGCATGGGTGGTAGATGATCAGCGAGACCCTGTCAGATCGCAGAGTCTATCTTAGAGTATTAGCTTTCCGTCAGCTTAACTCTGTCAGACAACAACAGTTGTACAGTGGAAGCACTGTGTTGTGGTTGGAGACTTGAAGTCGGTATCTATTGGCGACTGCGTTGGTGGAGTTGCTTGTATGATAGTCAAGAAGGCCATTATGAAAATATCCAGAATATAATTCCACTTGAGGTAGGCCTTCAGCTATACGAGTCACGATATCATATAGATATCTAACAGTGTGTAGGAGGATGACAGCAACACCGGGCGTAACAAACCCGACGCGTGACCTCGCGCAAGATGACGGAATGCACTTGTCCGAATCGGCTAGCTAGTCGTTATCTCCGTGTCGCCGCGTCAACCAGCCGCAGTTACCCTACTCCATCCTCGACCAACCGTCACACCAACATCACCAGCCAACATGAAATCCACCACGCTATTGCTCCCACTCTACACTGCCGCCTATGCGGCCGCAGCCTCGACCCCGAAAGGCGCGCAGGTCGTGCTCCAGGAGTCGCAGGCGCCGCTCGCTGAGGCAGACCAGTATCTAATCGAGCTGGCGCCTGGCGAGACGCGCTGGGTGACTGAGGACGAGAAGTGGGAGTTGCGCAAGGTATGGGCTTCTCATCCTATATCTAGTCCAGAACAGTGCTAAGAGTTACCAGCAAAACATCAACTTCTTCGACATTACGGACAACCAGGAACTCGGGACGGTCAACAGCAAGGCGTCGACAGCGAGCGTCAAGTTCCCCGAGAAGCCCACGTACAAAGAGGCTATTTCGCCGCTGCTCAAGCAGCTGAAGAAGGAGAATATGCGCGCACACCTCGAGACATTTACCTCGTTCCACACGCGCTACTACAAGTCGCACTACGGCGCCGAGAGCTCTGCGTGGCTCCTCAGCCAAGTCGACAAGACGCTTACGGATGCGGGCGCTGTCAACGCGACCGTCAAGCCGTTTCCGCACCCCTGGGGCCAGTCCTCCATCATCGCCACGATCCCGGGCAAAAGCGACAAGACGATTGTGATTGGCGCCCACCAAGACAGCATCAACCTGTATTTCCCGGCGTTCCTCGCCGCCCCCGGCGCCGACGACGACGGCAGCGGCACGGTAACGATCCTGGAAGCCCTGCGCGTGCTCGTCCAATCACCCGAGATCCTGCAAGGCGAAGCGGAAAACACAATAGAATTCCACTGGTACTCGGCCGAGGAAGGCGGGCTGCTCGGCTCGCAAGCCATCTTCCAGTCGTACGAGAAAGCCAACCGCAACGTCAAAGCCATGCTGCAGCAAGACATGACAGGCTACGTGCAAAAGACGCTCGACGCAGGCGAACCCGAGTCCGTGGGCGTCATCACCGACTTCGTCGACGCAGGCCTCACCGACTTTATCAAGAAAATCATCTCGACCTACTGCACCATCCCCTACGTGCTCACCAAATGCGGCTACGCCTGCTCGGACCACGCTAGCGCCTCCAAGGCGGGTTACCCGTCGGCCTTTGTCATCGAGTCGGACTTCAAGTACAGCGATAACAAGATCCATACCACCGAGGATAAAATCGAGTACCTGAGCTTCGATCATATGCTGCAGCATGCGAGGATGACGCTTGCACTGGCGTATGAGCTTGCGTTTGCAAAGTTTGAGTAGCCCAATTGCCCGACATGTGTAGGGGGGGTGTGTATGGGTGTGTGAGGATAATATATATATATATATATATATGTATCGACGAGTTTATCAAATCGAGGTACTAGCTGTGTTGTGCACATGCAATGTATGGTGTGTATGTATGTATGTATGTATCTAGGAGTTTTATGGTGTGTGAGAGAGAGAGAGTAAAGGGGGATTATACCGAGATGGACATGGCGTTGGGAGACCATGGTTATGTATTTGATGATATTTGTACTGAATGAAGATGAAAGAATAGTCTTGTTGAACACTGCACTACGTACTTGAACAACGAGTATTATTCTCCTCGAACACACACACCTGTACAGGTTATTTCCCCTGAATAAGTCTTTCAAAAAAACGAAACAAAAAAACAGCAATTCTGTGTTCTTCTACTCTAGTATTTCTTTCTCTCTTCCTCTTTCATTTGTTCTCTTAGCGTCTAGACAGCGCAACCAAATCCAACATGAAATCAATCAAAAGTAATAATAGCCGCAGAATTCCAAATATGATATGGCTTGGACGAATAAAGTAGCATTATAACTAAACGACCAAAACAGCGTATATGCCAAGAGGGGGAAAACCCAAAACACGAGCCAAGTGCATATATGGCTATATATATATATATGTATGGATATAAATAGAGACGATGACCTAGACCAAACCATACAGCGGCCTTGGCAGCTTCGTGGCCGTGGCCGTGGGCGTCGAAACGGTTGTAGCATCGTTCGCACGCGTTGCATGCGTTGCAGGCGCATAGGTGGGGGACTTGACGCCAATGTAAGATTCGCGTCTGGCGGGATTTCCAACGGTAACGCTCCAGGTAGGCAGGCCGTAGTAGACGCCAATGTGGTGGACGAGCCAGCGGGCAAAAGTGCCGCCGCCGTCGTGCTCGGGCGTGTCAAACAGCATGAGATGTTTCTTGGCGGGGGGCTGCTGCAGTGCATGTGTATCAGAGGAAGGAGAGTGTAAGTCGTGCATGGCGCCGTTGCGGCCTACAAAGACGATTTCGTCGTCTTCGCTGTCGGGATCGGCGGGGAGCCCTTGTTCGAGTGCGAGGCGCTCCTTGTGCTGCCATGCGGCGACGAAATTGCGGACTTGGGATTCCAGGTCCATGAGGAGACCCTTTGCGGCGCGGGAGCGCTTGAGCTTGTCGCGGAGCTCCTTGGGGACGACGCCCGGGGCGGAAGGATGGGTGGCGACCGTCTTGGAGGCGGTTTGGAGGGCGGCGGCAGCCGTCTTGCGGTCGTTTGATTGGCGTTTTAGACCGGCATCCCAGAGTGGAGCGAGGTAGTAGGGGACGTGCTTGGACGTGTGCGTGGGGTGGACTTCCCAGTCTCTGGGGAGCGGAGGCTCGGCGTGAGGGTTCGAGAGAAGGCGATCTGTCGGGGGGAAATGGTTATCAATTTACGCGTCTTTTGTTTGAACACCATGCTATCAGGATTCAGGTTCATGTGTGCGGCATCACACAGGCATGCCAAGTGGGCAAAGCGTGTGGGGGAGAAGGGGGAGGAGGGGCAGAGTTCAAGGCCCCTACGTACCATTCTCCCACCTCTGCCTGCGCCTCGAGCCCTCGTTGCCCTTGAGCAAGGCCTCGCGCCGCTTCAAGCTGTCGCGGCGAAGGGGCTCTTTGCGCCGATAGCAGGCGGCATCGTGTGCGGCGGCCTCGGCAGCTACAGGGCGTGCGGCGGGCTTGGGCGCATCGTGGTCATCGAGCGGAATGGCAAGCGTAACCGAGGGGCGCATCGGGGCATCTGCAGGCGTGGCGATGGCGACTGAGGCCAGCGCGACGGTTGCTTGCTCAGTCCAGGCGTCAATGTCGATGGGGTGAGGCGGCGCGACAGGCTGGTGTTGGTGCGGGCTGGAGAGAGCAGGCGTATCACCGACGGCCATGTTGGCGGCGTATGACGAGGGGACGTGTGTGTGACAAGGACCGATAATAGGTTGAGAAGAGGTGACAGCGGTGGGGGGGCTGGGCAGCAGCAGAAACAGCAAGGCGGCGAGGTAGTCGCACCGTGCGGGTAGAGATGTCTGGGGACAGATGGCGATAAAGGTGGTTAGGGCATGTCATGGCTGTTGGCGTCGCGGGCGGGGAGCCAATCAACGGGCAACGTGGGGGATGTTAGCGAGGGCGAGGCGAGGGCGAGTCTCACACGTCTGTGACTGTAGGCGTAGCGCAGCGTAGGGGGGAGATTATTGGCATTGGCATTATTGCCGTCGAGTACATGGCAGCGCGCACGTGCAAGGTTTGGGCCCAAGTCGTGTTTGTGCGCGGGCGCCAGAGTGACAGTCTTGGGGGGGGGTCGTCGTGGTGGAGTGTTTGGCCGTGACATGCCAGCCAGGGGTGCGATGGCATGCAAGCCGCTCAGCTCAGGGTGCCAAGGCGAATGCAAACGAGCGGCTCTATGCAGGAACACAAAGCTCTCGCGTTGCAATGCTTATGCGTATATAAGTAGTGTAGTTACTACACGACGCCAAGGTTTCGTCGCCGGCCATGTCAAGACGCTTGTCAAACTCTTACAGTTGAGCACAGCGAGGCCATGTCGACCTGAAACCCTGTCGAGCGGCGATTACGCTGTCAGCGTGGCCGTGTTTGGCTGCCAAGGCGTTGTGTTATTGCCCCGGGGCTCGGCCTTGTGGTGTGGGCAGACGTGATTATCACGAGTGTATGGGCGCAGGTAGAGTCAAATCAAACTTGATTGTGTTGGGTTGCATCAAGGTTTGGCCAAGGCTGACGCCGGCCAATCGAGTGTCTCTGTCCGACAGCACCAGCACAGCACCAGCGCAGCATGCACCCAGCGCCCTCTTTGACTCTTACTCTGGTGTCGACGTGTGTATAGTGGCAGTGCAGCACAGCACAGCACAGCGCAGCGCAGCGCATGGCCGCGCAGTCTTGGAGGCGGCGGCGCGCAGGCCATGTGCGGCGCTGTCAAGCTGATAAGGCTACACACGTTTCAAGCAGCAGTCGGCCCGTCGCTGGCCATTTCCTTGGCCAGCCATTCAGCCTCGTTGCGCATCTCGTCGTCGCTTCTGGGCCGGCGGCTGTCGTTGTCGACGGCGGGGAAGCGGCCGCGCTTTTGGTCCGGCGCGAGTGAGGCTGCCTCGTTGTCCGCCAGCTGCCTGCCCAGGTCGGCGTCGTCGCTCTCGAGCATGCCGTAGATGGCGTCGGTGCCGCCTCTGTCGTGCAGGTCGTCCTTGTGGCGGGGGATGATGTGCGCGTGCACGTGGGGCACGCTCTGCCCGGCGTCGACTCCGTCCTGGATGGCAATGTTGAGCGACGAGGCGTCGAAGACACGCTCTACCATGCGCGAGACGCGCTGGACCGTTGCAAACAGGTCGTGCACCTCGGCCGTCGACAGGTCGTTGAAGCGGGGCACCACACGGCGCGGCGACACGAGCACATGGCCGGGCAGGAGGGGCTTGAGGTTGACTATGGCAAACGACAGGCGCGTTACGTGGAAGACCTGGAGAGACACGAGCGTCAATGGCCTGGGGGCGCTGACCGGAATGCAGGGCGGCGCACGACTGCAGCTCAACAGCGACGCAGCGCCGGACGGGGGGGGGATAGCGATAGCACTACTACGCACCTGGCTGGTCACGACAAAGGAGCCAAAGTGGACGATTTCGTGGGTAAGCGGCGGCATTGTCCCGTGCAGACTCCAGACTCGATGCTGTTGCAACCACTACTCGACCTCTTGTCCAAGACCAAGCACGCCCGTGGCCAAGAGTCGGAAAGCGGCCGGCGGCGTGCGTCAGGCCTCTTCCGAAACACGCGGAAGTTTCCCGGCGTGGTGTGGATATGGATGTGGATGCATGCTGCCAGCGCCTGTGTGGGTGTGAGTGAGCGAGTGTGTGTGTGTGTGTGCTGCGATGCTACTATTCCTGCTGCTACTCGCCTTGGCCCGGCTAGCGCTGGCCGTAATCATACAGTAGTCGCCATGATAATCCGCATCATCACCACCACCACTACGACGATGAGGCGAACGAAAGGGAGGGGAGGCGTGGCCCGGCCTGGACGCACCGCCCTGGTCACATGCATGCCATCATGGCCAGCCAGCCGCGCATTCGCCAGCCAAACACTGCCAGCCCGTGCCGGCTTGCTGCAAATCCATTCGCACAACCAATTCTCCCACCCACGCCCAAACCACCGTGGGGACGCATCGTGGGGTAGCCGTGATTTTTTTTCTCTTTCTTGCTGTCTGCCTGCCTCGCTGTCGCCCGTCGCCGTCGCCGTCGCCATCGCCGCCGCCGCCCGTTGCGCCACTCTCCCCTCTTCTCTCTCTCGCTTTCTCTCTCTCTCTCGCTCACGCCGCACACAGCCTCTGCCCACGCTGCACGCTGCCTGCTCACGCACACGCACATACATAGACTACACCATAGCCTCTCCCGCTCTGGCGCCTTATCATTACCGGCTGCGCAAGTGGAGCCCGGTGGACCGCTTTTGGCTCAGACGTTTTTTTGCAGCTAGCACGCGCCTGTGACTCTTCGTAGCCTCTAGCTCCAACCGGCGACCTGTCTTACTCCACCACACACAGTCTCATCTCCTGCTTGGCTGAAGCCTTGACCTCCGAGGTTTCAGGCCCGGCACGGCCTTTCAAACAAATCATCTTACACCACATCGCACATGGTCCGCGACTCGACACCCTTGGCAATTCTCGAGTAGTCGCCCGTCGATCCTCTTCCATCGTCCCCCTTCGCAACACGCCTGCGCCCGTGCCCGTGCTGTACTGCACTGCACCGCACTGCACCGCACCACCCTCCCCACAGATCCACCGCAGCCGCTTGTCTCGTAAGCGTAACGAGAGACCGGGACCAGGGTCCGCTTCGAGAAGACGACTAGGTGCAGAGTATAAGAAGCGTGGTCGGACCTCCGATTCTACCCCCCCAACTCTCGACACAACCACCACCACTGCCACATTCCCCCCTCGCTCCCCAAAGCCTCTCTCCCTCTGCTTGGGTACCCATAGCCACACCGACCAAGCCCGACACAAATCACAACACGCTCCATCCGCGGATCCGTTGATCGGTGCCCGTCAAACTCCCCGATTTTATATTGGAGCCGGCCTATATCACACGTCTCTCCCGTACAAAGTCGACCACCACTCTCTCCACCACCGCCCACCACACACCACACACACAATGGATATCGCCACCACTTCCCGCGCCTACTTCGCCATGCCCTCGCCCAGCCCCGATGAGAAAATCTCCCTCCAGGCCTCAAACACCGTCTACACATACCACTGCCTGTGCAGCCACCTTCTCCTCGCAACCACCACACCCCTGCCTTCCCTGCCCACAAGGCGCCACTCGCGCGACGGAGCTCACATCATGCCACTCCCCCCGCCACCCTCAACCTCCAACCGCAAGAACTCAGCCTCGAGCAACAGCAGTGAGGACAGCAACAGCGACCACTACGGACTGCTCCTCTCCACCCGACAGGAGCGCCAGGCCGAAATCATCACAAACGAATCCGGCTTCGAGAAGCGCTATCTCCAGCGCTGCGGCCGCTGCGACCTCGTCGTCGGCTACCAGCTTGACTGGCAGCAGTTTGCCGTTGACCGGGCCGGCCGCAGAGAGGACTACGTCTTCCTCCTTCCCGACGGCTTTGTCAAGACCAGCGACATGATTGCCAACAAGATGGCTTCGGCTTCGGCTGCCGGTGGCCCCATGGACAGCACAGTCAGCGTCACCGAAGTCAGGGTGTGAGAAATCCGGCAACCATGGCGCCATTCGTCAGCGCACATTTGCCCACTTCTCTCCTAGCTACCCTCTCCCTCTCTCCCTCTGCAAGCAACCCATGCCTATCCGTCTAACGGCATGTGCACAAGGGCAACCTGACTAGGAGGGGAGGGGTTCGCTTGCAAGACGGTCCGGACCATGCATGACATAATATGCATGCCGCCTTGTCTACAACCAATCAACGACCAGATGCGACTTTCGGGCTCCCCACCTTTTTTTCTCCGCCGTCTCTCTGATACAGCTGTCCTCGTTCCCGCGGGACTCCCGCGGCTTTACTCTTTTTTTTTCGCCTTTCCTCTTTTTGTTTTTTTCCTTCTTTACCTTTTTCGTCTATCTCCGTCTTACCCTGTTCGCACACTGTCGACGGCCATGACGAAACAAGGAATGCGGAACGAAACATTGGGCTACTCCCTCTCTCAACAAACTCTGTTTGTTTCTTACAAGGAAGTTTTTTTCTTCTTTTCCCTTTCTGTTCCTTTTTGAATGGTCAGTTCTATAAACACCAAGATATAAGAAACTCCCTTGTCACTATATTTGGAGCGGGGAAGCGCGCGGCATGGCGCGGAAGAGAGGCAGCTTTCTTCATTGGTTGCTTTCTTTTTTTTTCTTCTATCTCTCTCTCTCTGTTTCTCTTTTTCTCTTGTCACATGAATGAAGGAACGGAATCTTCTCACGGTCATCACTCAGTTTGTTTTTGTTTCCTCTTTTTTTTTAAAGACTCAGTCTGGTATAGATAGACTAGCAAGTCCCCCCCATCCGTTCTGGTGCTCCCCTCACAAAAGTCCGCTGCCATGGCAGTTTTGGACTGGGGGTTGAGCACAAGAATGCGAAATTTTATCCATCATTCGTCATGCACCGTCATGATTATTGCCATCTTTTCTTGTTCCTCTCTGACTCTTATCTCGTTTTCTTTTTGTTTTTTCCCCATCCACTCGGCTTTCACGTCTCCCCTCCTCCTCCTCCTCCCGTCTCATCTTACCATCCACCAACCTCCATCACACATGCACATGCATACTTCTTACTTCTCATGCTCACCCTTTGCTCACCCACACATACGTCAGCACTGCCACCCCCCCACCCCGGTAACCCCAATCTACAAAATACCCCGAGATACTTGAAATCACACCCGGTCTAGATTCCCCTGCAACCCCGCCTTCTCGTCTTACATACCCCCACACCCACACACACACCTCTAACATATATACTCCCCCACGCTTTCTCTCTTTTGGGCCCTTGCATAATATCTGTGTACGTGTACATATATATGTGCTTGTGCTTGTGCACATGTGCGTATGCATGGTGCCCCCCCCCCCACGCGGTTTGATGCGGCAATGGTAACAGGTAATGTGAGGCGAGCCGAGGTGAGGCGGGGCGAGGCTAGGCTGGGTGGGGTGCTATGTCGTATATGTATGTATATATATATGTATGTATGTATGTATGTATGTATGTATGTATGTATATATGTCTATATTGCTATTATCCTATGTAATATAGTAGATATACTGTACAGTACAGTATAGTTGCAAGTATGTGTTATGTACTACTCTCTCTCTCTCTCTCTCTCTCTCTACTCTCTACCTAGGTCTATACCCATATCTATACCTACACCTACATATATACACACACCATGTCTACTTCTCTTCTTTCGACTTTATTTAATCTAATCTAATCTAACAACATGGAGTAGATGCATGCATAGATGCATGCATAGATAGATAGATAGATAGATAGATAGATAGATAGATAGATGGATGGATGGATGGATGGACGGGTAGATAAAGTATAGGCAAGGTGTAAGGTATCAATAAAGTGTAAGATGCAAAGAACGAGGTACTAGGTTACGAATATGAGTATTAGTATTAGTATTAGTATGAGCATGAGCATGAAAAAGGACAAGGACAAGGACAAGGACAGGACAAGGACAAGGACAAGGAGACTAAGACTGAAAAGTTACAAAAAAAAAGACAACAAGGACAAGTGTATCTGTGAACAAGTTGGATATCCCATTTAATTTCATTTCATTTCACGCATCTCTCTCTCTATCTCTCTGACTCATCTCAAACTCATCATAGCAACATACCGGCACTTCGCACATGGCAAAAACAAACAATCATCATCACCATCGTCACAAGAAGAAAATAGAGAAGCAAAAGGATCAGAATTGCCATCATCATAATAGAGACTAATGTAACTATAACAAGTTCCATTCTCTCTCTCTCTCTCTCCAACGCCCAGTGCCAATACTAACACAGCCAAAAAGGTTATTTAAAAAAACAAACAAATACTCCGCATGTAAAAAACCGTTGACCCGTCTCAGACATGCTCGCGTTAAACATTGTGCCATTGCCGTTGGTGATGCAAAAAAGGTGGGTGTGAGTGAAAAGGTAAACCGTAAAACCGACGACCGACTAGAGACTTAGTTCTCTGCAATCGTCTTGACAAACTCTGCGTAAACTTGTTAGTACCCACATAATCTACACCAGCAATTGTGAACAACTCACCCCTGTAATCCACCTCGTTATTGCTCGCATCAATCGTGCTCTTGAACAGCTCGTCCACCTCCTCCTCGCTCATCTTCTCGCCCAGGTTGGTCAGAATGTACTTGATCTGGCCCTTTCCGACGAACCCGCTACGGTCCTTGTCAAACACCTGGAACCCGCGTATGTACTCTTCAATGTCAAAGGGCTCGCGGAAGCCGCCGGGGCGGTTGAGGATCTTGGAGAAGGTGTCAAAGTCGACTGCCATTGCGGTTAGTCGGCTGAGTGTACACGTGGAGAAAATCAGTGACTTACAGTCGGCGCCAACACCGCGCTCGAGATCGGCAATCTCAGCAAGCGTTGGGTTCTGGCCGCAGGCGCGAAGCAGGTCGCCCAGCGCACCGCGGTCGACGCGGCCGTTGCCACGCTTGTCGAAGAGCTGGAAGGCTTCGCGGTAGTTGGTAGAGGCCTGGTTATGGTTATCCATCATTGTTCCTCGTCTTCTCGTGCAAACGTGTTGTTAAATCGGGCTCTCGGCGCGCAGTTGCAGGCACTGGCTGCGCAGGATTAAGGGGCAGGCGAAAGATGCAGTTGTAGGTTCAACGTCTGTGGCGGGCGTCGTGTAGCCAACTGAGGCAAAACAAGTAGCAGTCGTCCTTGTTTGTTTGTCCGCCATCCGCGACATGGTTCGATGGCAACAGGGTCGAGGGAAGCGCAATCTCGGAGCGGCGGCCAACCAGCGAATTGCCTGGGAGGGAGGGTATAACGGCGGCGGGCGGCAGTGCGGGGCTCTCTCGCCTTGCCCGATGTCTCTTTTTTTGCCTCGTGCCAGCAAGAAAAACAGGAAAATGTCGTGCTTACCATGATGTGCAGTGGTGTGGTGTGGGTGCGGGTGCAAGAGGGGTTGTGAGGGCTGTTTAGCAAAAAAAGGACCAAAGGCTGGTTCGTGTATAGGGCGGTGTGAGGCTTCGAGTTGGTGTTGAAGGGGCTGTTTGATGCAGTCTGAGCGTGGGCCGCGCGGTGCGTCGAGCGCAACATCAAGCCCGCCAAGGGAACAGCGTCGTCGTCGCAGCAACCAGCGGTGTACTAGACCACCTTAGAGACTTGTGTAAGCGTGACAACACCATCTGGTTACGCCGTCATGTCTATCGGTGCACCCCAATAAACGTCCGCTCTCCCCGGTACATGTGTATGCTCCTGCTGAAATGATCCTCGTCGTCTTCTTCCTCCTTGATCCACACGCCATCGACAAGCTTCGCCCTCACCATCTTCTCATCGTCGCCCTCCCCAGGCAACGTCCCACCATCCCTGACCCTGCCCTCTGCCATCCTTACCCCCGCTGCCTCGACCACCGTGTCGAAGCCCTGCTCTACATCCTCCTCGCCCCAGGGCAGCGCGTCGACGTCGATTTGTCTTTCCTTGCCCAGCAGACACATGATGATGACCATGGCACCCGCCTTGGACATGACTTGGTTCGACTGCTTGCACGCATCGTCATTGCAGCATTCATTGCACCCCTCCAGACAGTGACAGGTAGTCAGCCTCTGGCACGCCTGGTGAAGCAGCGTGTCCACAAACTCAAACGCTTTAGTGCTGATCCCAGAACCACTTGCGCCCCCCTTTGCATCGTAAAAGGTAAGCCGCGCTGGCCGCTTCCTCGTCGATTCCTTTTGCAAAAACTCCTTTTCAGGTACTTTGCATTCTGTCCGCACGTCGCCCGGCATCGAAATGACAAAATTGGGCATCAGACACAGAACTGCGTGCTCTGCAGCATGAATGCCGGCTGCAATGTTGAGCCGCCGTGACCTGAGAATATCCATGGCCGACTTGGGCACGTCGAGCCACATCCCCTTGCTGAAGAGGACAATGGGCGGGTTATCAACTTGCACGGCATCCAATATCCGCCGTCTTTTGTCGAGCTTGAAGAAGCCGTACACAACCTGCTGAATCTTGATCGGTCCGTAGAAAGCTTTTGACCGTGACCCAGGGATCCGGCGTATGGCTTCAGTCTCAACAGGGTCAATGTCCGTGTAGTCACGCTGCTGCGTTGTCCAATCCACCTTGACGTGCTCGACCTTTGCAAGCATCCGCTCGGGGGAGAACTCCTTGACCAGATACGTGTTGCCTTGGTGTAAGAAAATACCACCTTCATACAGCGTAAAGAAAGCCCTGCTGGCCTCCAGCTCTTCAAGAACAGTGTTTTTGCCATTTGTCGTGTCGATTATGGCAAAGTGATCCTCTTCTGTATCACGGATCGCCACCGTGCGAGAGGGCTGGGGAAGGAAGCGCGGATTGACGTGGTAGAAGCCTTCGTCGTCACGGCGCATGCGCTCGCGGGCAATCTTGGGAAGCAGAGGGCCAAAATAGTCCATATCAGCTTCCACGTTGATCGGCATCTCGTGGGCGGCGCATTGAACATGGCCTTCCACAACAAGCATGTTCTCCAGATCGACCTGCAGTGCGCAGTTTGGTTTCGTGAAGATTTCGTCTGGGTTGGACATGTAGTATTGATCGGTAGGAAAGCAGTCGCCAACCAACACTGATAGAGAGTCCTTGTTTCTTCGGCCAGCACGTCCGCTCTGCTGGCGAAGATTGGCAATCGTGTATGGGAAGCCCACGGTAACAACTGCATCCAAAGATCCGATATCCACACCGAGCTCGAGCGCACTCGTAGCCACGATGCCACAGAGCTTTCCGTCAAACATCTCCCGTTCAATCTCTCGCCTGTCTTGTGGCGTATATCCACCTCGATACGACATGACCCGCGGGATGACTTCGGGTCTTTCCAGGTTCGTCAGTTCCGTCTTGACAGCTGCCAGTAACGCCTCGCACTGTTTTCGTACACGACAGAATGCAATGGTCCTGACTCCTCTTAGCATGAGCTGACAGAACAGCTTTGCCGTCTCGGCCATGCAGTCCCCGCGCCCAGAGGTAGGGTCTCCGGGGTCTTTGAACGGCGTGTTCCAGCAAACAAACTCTTTGCGACCAGAAGGCGATCCATCAAAATCCGTCAACTTGACTTGTTCGACTCCGAAGATGGTCTTCATATGCTCTTCTGGATTTGCAACCGTAGCCGAGCACGAGATGAACTTGACGTGGCGGTTTCCCACAGCCGCACATATCCTTCGCAGGCGGCGCATGATGAATGCCATATGTGCCCCAAACAGCCCGTTGTATACATGCAGCTCGTCCACCACCACAAACCGGAGATTTTGCAGAAACGTGCGCCATGAATCTTCTTGCGGTAGAATGCTGATGTGCAGCATGTCGGGATTTGTAAAAATGATGCGCCCTTCATCGCGGATATAGTTACGGTCACCCATTGGCGTATCGCCATCGAAAGTCTCGACCAGAACATCCTCAAATCCAGGCATGAACCGCAGAAGCTCCTTCATGCTTTTCCTCTGATCTTGAGCCAGTGCCTTAGTAGGAAAAATGTACATGGCTCTGGTATTCGGCTCTTGCTCTAGCTGATGCAGCACCGGTATTTGATAGATTAGCGACTTACCAGAGCTCGTCGATGTAGACACAATCACATTGTGGCCATCGTAGAGATTGTTGATTGCTTCCGCCTGGTGCGCGTACAACTGGGTAATGTTCTTCGTATTGTAAAGAGCGTTGACGAGATTCTGCGACATGGCAAAGTTGAGATCACCATACACAGGTTCCTGAGGATCAAAGACACGATGGCCATCTGGTACAATTTGGCCAGTATACCAGTCAAGCGTCTTGATTTCGTTCAGGATTTCCGGGATAGGCTTGCGTTCTGTAGGTATCGAGGACGGAAGTAATGATTTCTCTGGACCAGGAGTTGACGCCCTACTCTCAGCCGGCATCGGAATAAAAGCCCGTGACACCTCCTTGATCTTTTCAACCGCATCGACACTCTCTTCGGCGCACTGGTTCAAGAAAGCATTAATCGCCGAAGTAAACTTGGCGTTCCTCTTTTCAATCAAGTTCATCATCTGCTTCTGACTGAACACCGGCATCTTGAGGTCTTCATTCCGCAGCTTGGTCGTGGCCTTGGTAGGCTCTCCTGTCTTCTTATGCTGGACCTGGCGCTTCAAATCGCCGTCGATGAACTCGAACAGCAACACCTCCTTGTGTTCGCCTCGTTCTGGTTCGGGCTCGAGTATAGCAAAGTCTGTTGTGCGTCTTCCGTGTAGGTTGTCTTCCGAGCCCATCAAGTTGATCTGGAGCATCGCTTCGTCCACATATGCAAAGTTGATCGCCTTTGGGATCAATGCCGTGATCTGAGCCACATCCTCAACCAGCAGCTCTCTTTGTATGTTCCCCTCGACTGTGCTTTTTAGATTGTCAAGCGTCGTCGCCAGGTGCTTGCGCGTGCACAGAAATGTATACACCAGGTTCAATGCGCGATGTACTTGAGCTAGCTTTGTAAAGTGGTCTGGCCACGGTATCGAGGTTTCGACGACTGTGAAAGAGCTTTGTCGCGCAAGAGTCGGTTTATCGGTGCCGTTTTTCTTTGAAATGCGCCGCGGCTTCTTTCCCCCGTCGTGCGTCTTCGTGGGTACGGTTGTAGTAGTCGTGGCTTCGAGCACATCGTCAGGCTCTGCGCCTTCAGGAACTGGGGTCTCGCCATCGTCGTGAGTCTTTCGCTTTCGCTTCCGGTTCGTCTGATCAGAAACAGTCGCGGCCTTTAGTCGTGGCATATTCAGCGCATTGTTGTGTTCCGGCAGGCGAACAGCACGGGTGAACTATCTTCAGCGATCGATGACGCAATCGCGCAAGGAGGGTGCTTTTTCAAGTGCGCGCGAAATGTGCCTTGTCGAATTCTGCTTCTTTGCTCAGACCGTGTAGACGTATTTTGCTCTCTGTCTTGACTTTGAGGGCGGGATGGTGGCGTGCACCCGGTGACGCGAAAGCCCCGTACAACGCGTTGCCGCGCTCTCACGTGCATGGACACAAGCGGGCACCACATTTCATCAGTCGCCAAAGGCAACATACGCACTCTCTTCACCACAACACTTAAATTAACTTTTTTTTTACTACCACAGACACATCAAGGTAAGGGAACATTTTATGCCGCCTTTGCACACACAGCCCGGGGTATAAAGCAAGCAGCGCAGCAGAACCCGCCCATATATCACCGTCCAAGTAGCCACTTGTGAATATACATAAAGAGACTAGAACAAACACTCCTCGCTAGAATGCAATCATATCGGAAATGACAGTCCGAGAAGAGCAGTACACATCGAATGCCGTAACCTCATAACGAAAGATACTGGCCGGGCCCAAACATCGGTCGGCCAGATTGGATGTTGTAGCGCCACCGCGGCAAGAAGAAAACCGTCGCCCCATACAATATTGCTCACAAGACAGTTGAACCCGGAATGAGCATCTCAATGCACTTTGCCAACAAGTTGCTTGCCTCGTGCAGCAACTCCCATCTTGTCTTTTTGAACATGTCCCTCATGATGATGAGCAGCCCCAAGCACGCATTACGGCTGGTAACCTTGCTTAGGTCTTCAGGCGACCTTACCCCTCCAACGCGGTTGAGATAGAGCACCATGTCTTTGACCTTGTCTTCATACGTCGGAAGCTGATATGGCTCCTTGACAGGGCCGTCAAGTGCGAAGCCGTATGACCAGACAATCAGCGTGGCAAAGTAGAGCACCCACGGCCGGTTGAGAAGGTAATCGTCACGTGCAGAGTAAGAAAAGCCAGCAGTAGACGCTGTGTTGGTGTTTAGACTGTGCTCCCCGGCCACCATGACATTGGAGAGGAAGCGCAGGGCGTAGAAAGTAGCGTCTCGGGCCCGAGCGGTGGGGGCCCATACGTCCTTCATCCGGCGTTGGGCGCCGTTGTAGTCTTGCGGAGTAATAGATCTACCGAGTAGCCTGGGAGCTCCGGCGTAGATTTGGCAATCCACAATGTCGACGTGCATAGCCATGTGCGCTAGGTGGTGAAGGACGGTCCGTGATTCAAAGACAATGTCATCGTCGATGGACTGAGAATACCCGTAGGTGTTGGACGAGGGCCGCTCGTCGTTTCGGTTCAGTGAGTTGTCGAAATCCTGCTTCCAGAAATCAAATGCTCGAGTGAGGGAGCCCCGCCACTTGTCACGCCCACCTAGGGCTGTAGTCACGCCGAGAGAACTGACCTGCAAGTCCCGCTGATTCATGTGCCACGACACGCTCAACAAGCCTGCCATGAGAATGGTGCGCCCAAAGGAGTTTGTGCGCACCGTCTGTCCGTTCAGGGTCTTCTTGAGACCATCCAGGAACGACATTGGCTTAATGCCGTTCGAAGTTAGCGTTTGCTCGACGCGACCCACCTCGGAGCTGCTCGTTGCAGACCACAAAGCTTCGTCACAAGGCAGAGGTAGACGCATCTCGTGAGCGACCATGACGGCGCTGTGACCAAACATGGTAGCGTGGATGCTGTCCATGACGAAGGCCCCAAACGCAGCTCTCCTGGTAGCCTCATTGGTGATCCAATGGTTCCACCACTCATCAGGCGTGTTTGCTACTCCATAACCGTTACTCTTTCCATCTTTGACGCTCGGAGGCGAGTCCATGGCCGACCGTCCAATCAACGAGCTCCCTCGCCTCATCAGCGTCAGAGTTGTGGCATGGTGGATGTGCGCTCTCTCGTGCAAGGGGCGCGTCGAGTACATCTTCTCAAAGCTCTCGAGTAGGAGTAGGCCCTGGAAGATCCAAAGTTTGGCGGGTGGGCGAAAGTCGGCATCCATGAACATTTCCCAGCGCAAGTGCCAGGCCAGGAAGTTGGCTAGCTCAGCGCAAGCTTGTGTGGTTTCCTGGCCATAGTTCTTCTCCAGACAAGACGCTCCAAGGCACATGATGGCAAGCAGCAAAAGCTCAGGGCAGGTGCTTGCGTTGAACGTCGGCTTGTGCAGTATGGGAAGCTGAGGGTGGAAGTGAACCCAGTATGAGCTGATGTAAGTCTGCATCATGTGCAGGCTCAGGACGTGGCGACTATCGTCCTTGTCTCCCTCCATGATGTCCTCTTTCTGCTTCTTGACTGGTGTGTGGTCAGTTTCGTTGAACCGCATGTGGATTAGATCAAGGAGATCCTTGCGCTTCTCTTCCGACAATGCAGCCTCTGGTAGGGTCGTGTCTAGGATACTGTGGACAGCCATGGGGTGAGCTGGCGGTGCGGGGTTGTTGAGGTAGCCCGCGACTGAGGGGTCATAGTTAAAATATGGTGCTTGGAGTCCGATTTGGGAAGACGCACCGGCTACTGGATTGACTCCGCCAGGATAATCCATGGGGGATCCGCCTCTTGGACCAAACTGGTTGTCGTTGAACAGCCAAGCAGCAAAGTCGTCGGCCATGGCAAAGGGTGAGCGGCTATATCCAGCACCGCCAAACATTGGGATGGCGTAGGCAGGGTTCTGGTCCATGATGGCATCCGAAACACCTTGCATCCGGTTGTCCATTTGGCCCGTAGCCTCGACGCCGTTCATTGGCACATGTCCGAACGAGCCATTGTAGTACTGGTTGTCGTGATCTCGGGACGGAGTGCCCGTTGATTGTGGGTATTCTGGTGGAGGTAAGGATGAGAACGCGGGGAAACTCTGTTGTGATTGATACGCACTTGCGTTGTTTTGGTAGTTGGTCGACGAGGCTGAGGGAGTGTAGGGCGACGGCGTCACGGCCGAATTGAAGGGTGATGTCGAGCTGTAGGAACTGATGTTGGATGTCTGCGCGCGCAGCTCGGGCCGTGTGAAGCTTCCATTACCCACGTGTGGGGAGTTGTGGAGGGGCGTCCGGCCTCCACTGTAGCTGCCCATAGTGGCCGGATGGGGTGGGGGTGCAAAGTTTCCAGAATTTTGGGCCTGCATATCATACGGCTTAGTGTCAGAGCTGCTTCGATAGGTCTCGTCGCTGCCAGTTCTTTGCATCGAGTCCTGCCTGCTTAGTGTTGAAGTCGAAGCCGGGGACTGCATGCCGTGGGGTGGTGCCTGGCTCTTGATGCCAAGGGCCTTGGGAGGCGGTGCACTCTTTCCACCTAGCGCCGCTGTTACGATTGGATTCAGATTGTGCATGTTGAAGGTATCTTTGCGCAGCAGCTGGGATCCTCGGGCCGTGTGCCTTTCTTTGTGGCGCGCGCAGAGATCTTGTCGGACGAAGGACCGGTGGCAGTCGGGGAAGTCACAATGGTATATTTGTTTGGGGTTGTCTGCGCATAGCATTAGCATCATGGCTCTTTCAGGACGAGTCAAGTTTCATCGTCAAGTATGCTAGGTGTGTCGCCAGTCGAAGGGTTGCCACGGATGGTTCAACTCACGGTTCAACTGGTGGCGGTACAAATGCTCAGCCCGTGAATAGCTCTTGCCGCAGCCCTCGTGGGGGCACTCAAACTTCTTGTCGAGGCCCTTTCTGCTTCGCCTCCTCTTTCTCGAGGAGCCGTGGCCATCGCCTTCACCGTCGCCCGTGTCGCCGTCGTCGTCCCTGTCGCGTCGGCGGCCGCGGTTCTCGGCGCTTTCTGGAGATGCAGGCGTCGGGGGCTCACTTGCAGCACCATGGGCGCTGTCCATTTTGTCTCCAAACTGCGTCTGGATCTTTCTCAAATCCGACGCGTGCGCAGCATGCATGGAGAGGATTTGCGCCGTCATAGCCAGTGCGGGTGGGTCAGAATCAATGCCGGGTGTCGCAGGGTGGATAGATAGGTGGGCGTGGTTGTGTAGCCTGGTGGCGGGACGACTGGCGGCGTGTGCAGCTGGGGCCCAGTGATGTTGTGGTTGATGTTAGTCGAGAGGGGGCGCTGGGCGAAGGGCGTGCATGCTGCTTTGGGAAATGACGCTGCTACGGGTGCACCAAGAAAAAAACGACTGGGTGAGGACTTCTGGTAGACGAGCAGCGTGTGTGTGTCAAGTCGATCAGGAACTAGTCCGACGGCGTGGTGTCGCGGCAGCTCTGGACGGGCGCTGTGGTTGCAGCAGCGAGCGCGTGGACTAGTACTGGGGAGCCGCCGAGGGGCGCAGGTCGGTGTAAATCACGGGTACCCTGGGCGATGACTTGCAGGCAGGGTTAGAGGGAATCGAGTGGGTGCGGGGGGCGAGAAGCGAGGGCAGAGGGCAGAGGGCAGAGGGCGGTAGTGGGCGGCGGCGGGCGTGGCCGTGGAGGTGGAGGTGGAGAGAACCCTGGAGAGCGTGGGGAAGAGCAACAAGTCGTGGGCGTGTGGGCGTGTGGGAGTGGGAGTGGGAGTGGGAGTGGGAGCAAGACGGGCGCGGGCGGTGGGTGGACTTGGGGTGGGCGATGGGATGGGGAGAATGACGGGCGCAGTATGTAAGCTCCTTTGCCGCTTGCTCGACTCGACTCGACTCGACTGGACGGGACTGGACTGGACTGGACTGCACGCGACTGGGCTGGGCTGGTGACCACGGGCGGGCGGGCGGCCACCAGCAGCCGGGGCTTGCAGTGTTGAGCCGGGAGTTGCTCACGCGAGGAAAGCGCAGTAGCCGCGATAAGACGGCCGCCTGGCGTGGCACAGTGGGTAATATCTCCAAGCGGCCTGCCCCAAAGGCGCTGGCTGAAGGAAGAGGTGAGGGGTAGCTGCAGGCTGGCTTGGGGGGAGCGAGCGGGCGAGGGGGATGTGAGGGGAGGGGGGGGAGAGGGCGTCCGTGAGAGGCAGAGGGAGGGGGGCAGAAAGAAAGAAAGAAACAGAGTGTGGGTGAGAGTGTGGGTGAGCGAGCGTGAGCGTGAGAGCGAGAGCGAGAGCGAGAGGCGGACCCCGGCGTCGGCAGCAAGCAGGCAGCAGGCAGGCAGGCATGCAATCAATCCGTTCAATTAATTCATTCATCCATTCCGTCGCTCAGTCGGCGGCGCACCCTCACCCTGATGCACGGCAAGGAAAGACAAACAAGCGTGACAAGGCCATGGATGCGACAGGGCCACCGGCAAGACTCGAACAAGAGGCTCTCTACCACGCCCTGCAGCCGCTACTACTGCTAGCACTAGCGCCAACGCTAGTGCGAGCAGCAGAATGTGGAATGTGGAGAAGCTGCCAGGCCCCCCCTCGCCGCCTTTGACGCGCGGGATTGGCTGCCTCGTGCGTGGGGGCGCCGCCCGCCGCCCGCCGCCGCTGCGCTTCGACTGCTGCCCGTCTATCTACATACTAGTACTATCTACCAGGCATACTTGTACCGCTGCCACCACCACCACCACCACCACTACTACATATTACTATTATTCCCACAACCCGCTGCCTCTGCTGTTCCCGAGCCGCCACATGTCCCCCCTGGCTACCACAGCGCCCGCCAACCTCGCCCGCGTGCCGTCCCTCTGCGCGGCCGTGTATGTACATCTATGCACAGGGCTGCAGGAGCGCTCGCATAAGGCATGAGCTGCTGCACGTGCCCAGAAGCACTCGAACGCGTTCTCCGCCCACGGCTGGCCTGGTGCGCATTATCCTCTCATTCCATTACCATCTCTCTCACGCACGCAGCAGCCCTACTTATCGCGACGCCTATTACATGTTCGCACGCGCTCGAACCACATGGCTGCATGTCAAAGCTCATTCCCCCCGGTCCTTGTAATCTCTGTCTACATACACCGAGCCTGCCCATCCAAAACACTCCCACAAATGGACGCTCGCTCTCGCTCTCGCGCACCCGCACCGCCCAAAGAACGACTAATTTCCACACCTCATCGTCGCAAGCGCGCCACAAATTCCGCGCCTCCCATTCGCCGGCATTTTACCCAAGTCCTAGTGTGCGCCGCTCGGCCTGTCGCCCACCACTAGTCACGACCCGGCGGCCTCGAAGGCGCCCCCCCCCCTACCCCAGGATTGTCAGCAAACCTGCCACCTGCAACACGCACACGCGCACGTCTAGCCTAGTCCCCTACAGCGGCCTGCGTATAACTATCGGCTCCTGCCAATAAGGCGCGGCCCGACCGTCACCACCGTGCAGGTGCAGGTGCAGGCACGGCAGTCGGAGCTCAGCGACCGCGCCAAAAATCCTCGCAATGCTATCTGCCTGCCCGACTTGTCGCGCTGCCCATTTGGAAAATCTCCCAACAAGCAATCTATCGCGCGCATGGCCCCCCATCAAGGGAGAGGGCAAAAAAAAATGATAAAGTTTATTTGTTTTTTTGAAATGCTCTTCCCACCCTTCCCCCCCCCCCCTCCCCCCTCCACCCCGGCCCAAGCCTACCGAGGTAGCTGGGGGGCAGCGGGGCGCGCCACCATCACGATGCTACTCACAACATGCCTGCTCCATGTGTGACATCAGATGGTGTGCAAGAAGAAACGAGCAGAGCACGAGCAGACCCAACTTTTCAATACATCAACTGTCAATGCGGCGCCCCAACATTGGCTGCCCCCTCCTCAACGGCCTAGCGGCTCCAGCCTCAAGTACACACGGCATTCCACAACGACCAAGTGCATTGCTTTTGGGGGATCCTCTACGTTTCACGCGCACAACTTCCGCCTCCTGCAATGTCCGTCATGTCCGTCCATTTTTTTTCTTGCCTTTTCGCCGCTCGAGATCAAGCGCCCCGCGGCAGCTACAACACGCCGCCCGCAGAATGTCGGAAGAGGGGGTTGGGTTGCTGCCAGCAACAAGCAGAAGCGTCATCACCACCAACATGCAAGCCTCCCCGCCCATCATGTGCCATCAAACACCAATCCCGTCGTCACTGCTCGCAAGTAGTACAAACGCTTGACGTCAACCACACTCGCCTGGGGCCACACACACACACACACACACACACGCCACGCCTGCTATCGTTGTACAGTATACATTATACATCATAACATGGACACTACGACAAGAGGCTCTCGCATCGGCCTTGCCAAGTCCCTACTTCCTGGCCTAAAAAGAAAATAATACATGGTAATAGCCCCGCTCCTCGACGACACAATCGACAAGCTCCTATTCTGCCGCTTGTGAAGTGGCCTCAACATCCTTCTCCGTCGCCTTTGCGGCATTCTCCGTTTCTCCTGCTGGCTCCGCCTGAGCTGCGGCTTTGCCCCCATCTTCCGCGGCTTTGGCTTCTTCTGGAGACGTCTTGTCAGCAACCGCCTCTGAGCCCTCGGCTGCCTCAGTCTTGGCACTGTCCGTCTCTGCACTGCTCCCATCAGTAGCTTTGTCCTCGTCTTTGGGTACAGGCTCTGCGTCCTTGGCATCGCCAGTGCTTTGCTTTTCGCCATTGGCTTCCTTGCTCTCTGGTGCTGCCGTCTCAGCAGTCTTGGCATCGCCCTTGTTGTCGTCTTCGTCGGGATCTTCGATTGTAGTAACATCTCCGTCACTGTCCTCGTCTTCATCCTCGTCGTCGTCGTCATCATCATCGCCATCGCCATCGCCCTCTTGAGTTCCGCCCTCTGATGGTGGCTCAAAGATTTGTGTCACAGGGCGCGCGTTCAAGTCTGGGTGGTCTTCTTCGTCTTCGTTCTCTTCTACCACTGTCTGCACAACCGTCGCACCTACCGATGGCGAGTGCCTATGTCGCTTCGTTGTGCCTGCTGTTGAAAGTGAATGCTCCGACATGGCCCCTGCCAATGTGCTGTCCAAGCCTTGGGCCCCCGATTCCGAAGCCTCTCGCTTCAGGATTTGAAGTGGAGCCGGTGGCTTGGATTCGGAATTGAGATCGATGCCCTCCGCTTCTGGAGGGATCGTGTAGTTGTCTTCTGGCACCAAGCCATAGACATCACACACTGTCTTGTAGAATATATATAGCCCCGTGCGGCCCTCGACGTGCCAGAAAACGTCCCGGTGTGAGTACCATGCGTGTGCAAATATCCTGTATACACGGCGGAAGATGTTGGTGATTTGGCGCGTCTGCGAGTGCTGTGTGGACTGATCAGTGCCCAGTGCCAGCCGTGACGGAAAGTGCTTGGGCGATGTGAGCGTGTTGGCGGCCCAATCGAGCGTGTGGCAGCAATAGTCTATGGCGCAACATGACTTTGGTGGATCGTGGACTGCGCATAGATACTGCCATTCCGAGGCACGCATCTCTGGGCACGTCATGGACGAGCACGGCGGGCTGTCCGAGAAGAGGGCGGTGATAATTGAGTTTACTTTTTGTATGAGGAAGCGACACAGTTCGTAGAGCCACAGCGTCCTGTCCACATTCTCGGGCGCCTGCGCGATCTTGAGGGCCATGTCTCGGTCGACCGGGATGGTGCCATTAGCCCCTATCGGATGCGTGAGGAAGTTGTGTAGGGCCTTGAGGTGCTCGGTGAGCTGGAAAGCTGAATCAATCTGGCTCAGCGTTAGCCAGGCGCCGCCGCCGCCGCCGCCACTTGAGAACTATCATGCGCACCTCTGAGAGATCTACCAGCGGAGGGCCCTCTGCCATGTCGGCCGCCTTGGTGCCCGGCCGTATCCTCCGCTCGGCAGCATGGTCAAGATTGCTGAAGAGCTTCTGCTGCTCTGGCGACGCCGAGATGGGCGACAGCTGGTCCTCGGGAATGGGCGGTGGGCTGGGCAGACGAGGTGAAGCGGGCGACGTCATAGTAGTCGTCGTATCTGAAGCGCTCAAGGGCAATTGGAAACTGACTTCGCACTAGATGCAGGTCAACCCTGGGGCGGGGGAGTAACGGTGTTGTTGACCTTCGGGGCGTCTGGCGCTGGCCGCCGACGCAGGGCAGGGCAGGGCAGTTGCAGGGATGTCGCCTCGGTACGCGACGGCGCTAGTCGTCTTGCGGCCCATCTTCTGGCTCCATGACTCTCCCCCTCTGCACGACGTCATTGTGTGCTCTCTGCACACTCGAAATCATCCGCCGGTACCTTGGGCCACATGCCCATCAATGCCTAGACATTGGCCTTGACTGCTTGGTAAGACCGACCCGCTTAGCTAGCACCCCTGCCACACTGCGCTGTTTCCATCATTTGCAAATTCCTTTGCCTTCCCATGACCTGCATTCCACTTTTGATGATATCTTGTCTAGTAATTTCTATGCCCCAGCGTGTGCGCTTCTGGCGCGTCAGGAATCGGAATGGGACTTATCCTGACGTGGCTCCAGATCCTTAGTTCCGAGTCCCCCGCAGTTTTGCTCGAACCCCTCACCACTTGCTCACTATAGCCTTTTCACCATGAGTGCTGATGCCTCGGATGACGAGGTACCTAGTCTCGTTCAGCCAGGCCAAGAAGATGAAGTCCCAACCCTGGTGGGTACTGCAGACGAGGACCCTCAGAAGAAGGTGCCAATTACGATAGTCACTGGATATCTCGGCGCGGGAAAGACGACTCTGCTCAACTACATTCTCACCGAACAGCATGGAAAGAGAATTGCTGTTATCCTTAACGAGTTTGGGGACTGTAAGTCGTTGCACTTGGACTTTTATATTTAGCCTAACAAAAATAGCAATTGACATCGAGAAGCAACTAACAGTCTCCGATGCAAATTCCACGTCCGCCCAGCCGGCGCCATTTGTTCCACTGGCAAACGGCTGCATCTGCTGCTCTGTCAAGGATGTTGGCGTAGCCGCCATTGAAAACCTCATGGAGCAATCCGGTCTTTTCGACTACATCCTCCTTGAGACCACAGGCCTTGCAGATCCCGGCAACATTGCACCCATGTTCTGGCTCGACGACGGACTCGGCAGCACCATCTACCTCGACGGCATTGTGACGCTCGTTGACGCCAAGAACGTACTGAAGAGCTTGGACGAAGGTTTAGGCGACGAAGAAAACATCCAGGAACGAAAGAAGGCTGCGCACGACGAACACGGGCCACTACTCACGACCGCTCATCTCCAGATTAGCCACGCCGATGTCGTCATCATCAACAAAACCGACCTTGTAACGCCGGAAGAACTCGAAAAAGTAACTGAGCGCGTGCGCTCCATCAACGGCCTAGCCCGCATCAAAACAACCACCAAAAGCCAAGTCCCGAAGCTCGAAGGACTGGTTCTTGATCTAAATGCGTACGACGAAGTATCCGACGCCGATCTCAAATTCGCAAGCAAAGGACATAGCCATCTTGACCCCACCATTACTACATCGACAATCACCTTTCCAGCTTTGTCCCGCGCCCAAGTCGACAAATACGATCTATTTCTTCGCACAGTCCTGTGGGAAGAAACATTGCCAAACGACACGCCGCACCAGCCATTTGAGGTTCACCGCTTGAAGGGCCGCGTGCCGGTCCAAGACGGCAAGATCCTTCTAACACAGGGTGTACGCAGTATCTACGACACCAATGAGTTGGATGATAAGGCAGGAGATGGTAGTAAGGAGGGAAAGCTGGTGCTGATTGGAAGGGGAGTGGATCAAGAGGGATTTAGCAAGAGCTTAATGGCTACGTTGGGGCTGTGAAGAGAAATACAATTGACATGAGGGTTGTATGTGTAGTGCGATGTATAAAGGAGCGTTTGAACTATGCATTTGAGTACCAAAGCGAGACCTGGTGAGTTCATCATAAGCAAAATCCATAACAAACAGGCAGAAAAACAAAGCATTTTTCATTGTGAAATTCTCTTCATGACCAAGGATCCAAGATGACTTCCACATACAAACATATACATGATCCGTATCTCACGGGTTGCTTAAACCAATCAAATCAGATCAAATCAAACCAAACCATAGCAGGACAGAACAGAAAAGAAAGTCCTCCTCCACACAAGCGACATTTCAAACCGAGTAATCTGATCTTGAAATAGTGGTATTGAGACTGCATCTAGCTGTAAGAGGGGGGGCTGAGAAACCACTCACCTACATAGGTACCTACCTACCTATACGCATATCCATACATAGATACATACATGCAACACAAAACCACCAAGACGCATCAATGCATCTAACAACACAGCGCAGGATCTCATCACACCACACCAACACCAGCATACCACACCCAGCTACACCACTACATGTACACTGCGTATATGCATGCATGCATGCATCCATCGCGTGCCAACCCCACCTTCCCTCCTCGTAACTAGCACTAGTCCACATGACAATGCCTGACGCCCGATGCTGCTGACAACCACAAACTTGAATCCTTCGGGCGCGCCACCACCACTAGCCGCTAGTCGGGCCTCCATCCGACTAAGTAGGCGTATACTAAGTCACCGTAACTGAAACTGAAACTGTAGGTGTAGGTGTAGGTGGAGGTGTAGGAGTTGGTGTAAAGAAAGGCTAGTGCTAGATCTGGATCCTGATTTTTCCTTTTTTTTTTCTTCTTCTTTTTTCTCACGCACACACGTGTACGTAGACTTACACTTGCACACTTGCACGGCTGCCTGGCTACTTATCTGTAAGTATATATGTATATATGTAGTTCGATTGTAAAGATACACGTGCACGTGCGTTAGAGATATGGATGTGTATCGCGTTGTATCGTGTATTGTATGTGGGCTCCGCGGAGTGAATGAGCGAGGATAAGAAGGGGCTAGCAAGGGGGGAGTATGTAAGTAAGGGTAAGAGGGGCAAGGAGAGCAAGCGAGAGCGGGCAAAGGGAAGTTGGAAAAAGGGAGATTTACAAAACCATGGACTCGGGTTCGTGTCCGTGTCGTACTTACCATATCGCGGCGTGTTGTTGTTGCATATAAGCAAGGGTATGTATGTATGGAGAGGCATATATAGATGATTGAAGATTTCGTAGGATGTAGTTTGGATTCTTGGTTCAACACGCACACGTATATAGGTATAGGTATTTGGTTGACGTGTGTATCGTTTGTTCATTTTGTGGCCATTTTTCATTATGTACAGGGAACATGTAAAACATTTGATTAATAAAGATTGGCGGAGAGAGGAGTAGAAGTGTGAAGATGAGGAAGAAAAGGGATGCTTAAGAAACAAGCTCAATTTTGCTTATTACTCTGCTGCCCCTTACTTTCCTTCTTCGTCTTTCTTTCTTTCTTTCTTTCCGGGCTAAGTCCGCGTTGGAAAAACACAAGAGTTCCCCAGGCTGTGAAAGCAGAAAGGGTGAAAGCTCTCTGTTTGGGCTTTCTCCAACACGGCTATCACATACACGGATTGATTTAGACAACATCCTTCTCCGTGCTTACAACTTTTGTGTCGTGCTCGACGCCCGATGAGGCGTCGCCTGCAAGGCCGGTCAGACCGAGCTCTCTGTTGATTTCCTCCATGCGCTCCTGGTCCCTGAGGGCGGCACCCTCGCTGCCGAAAATAGTGTCCATCTCCTCAAGAGTCAGGCGCTTGGTCTCCGGGACGAGGAACCAGATAAAGGCCGCGCCGAGCGTGGTGATGAGGCCAAAGAGGATGTAAGTGCCGTATGTAATGTTTTCGAGGAGATCGGGCGTGATTTGTCCAATGATGAAGTTGTTCATCCAGTTGGAGGAGCCGCCGAGCGCGGTACCGTAGGGACGTGTAGACAGGGGCCAGATTTCTGGGAATCGCGCGTTAGTATCTTGTAGCTGTGCTGGCTGTGGTGCTGAAGAAAAAACTTACCGGCAATCAGAATCCAGGCGCAAGGACCCCAGGAGTATCCAAAGTGGATGACGAATAGCCAGACCATGACGACGGCGGCCCATCCGGCGGCCTTGTGGGACTCGAATTGGTTGATGTTCTTGGCGAGAATGATGGCAATGACAAAGTGCGAGAAGGCCATGCCGAGGGCGCCCATGGAGAGAACGGGCTTGCGGCCGAGCTTGTCAATGTACAAAACGGCTGGGATTGCTGGCGAGGTGTCAGTTCTGCAATACTGTCTTGGAAACAGAACAACTCACTGGCAATAAACATGACAATTCCGACGACACCAGTGGCAAGCAGGGACATGGTGTTTCCGGTCAGTCCAATCTGCTTGAAGATCGTTGGTGCGTAGTAGAGAATCTGAGATTGATTAGTCCGTGTTTTGTAGAATATGCTGTTGAAAGTGGGTACTCACAGCGTTAATACCAGTCCACTGTTGGAAGAACATGGTAACGGTGGCAACGACGACGCGCTTGAACATGGCCTTGGTCTTGAACAGCGATGCAATGGCCACAAACTGCAGCTTGAAGATGTTCATGGTAGTTTGCTCGGTGAGGTGGGGGAACGACTCGGCAACGGTGCGCTTCTCAAACATGGACTGAGCCTTGATCTCGAGGAACTCGAGTTCGATCAGCTCGTGGTCCGTGGGAAGATTACGGAGAGAGGCGAGGTTTTGGCGGGCCTCGTCTTCCCGGTCGTGGTGCATCAACCAACGCGGCGAAAAGGGCATCCAGATCATACCGATGAGCAGGACAAATGCTGGGACAAGCTGGATGCAAATGGGCACCAGCCAGGCTGCGTTGGACTGGGTTTCGACCGTGGTGCCGCCAATGTAGTTTGTTCCGTAGTTGATCCAGAAACTGACCATGATGCCAAAGGTAATAGCGAGTTGCTGAAGTGCGACGAGAGCACCACGGACCTCACTATTCGGAGTCAGTTTATTGTTTTGATTTGATCTTAGCAGCAACAGAGAACTTACGGAGGGGCGCATTCACTGTTGTACATGGGGACGATGGTGGAAAGGGCACCGACACCAATACCACTGTGGGCTGTTAGTATGATTGTTGAATTCCATAGGCTCGTTGCAGACTGACGTGATGAAGCGACCGGCCAAAATTTCTTGATGACCACCAGCAATTGCAGTTATTTGGATGACGACGCCGACAATGAAGACTGCCGTGGACATCAAAATGCCGTACTTTCGCGAGGCGGCCTCAGCAACGAAACCAGACATGATGGCTCCAAACCAGGCACCGAGTTCCAAGATGGCAGTGAGCCATCCCTTCTTTGTTGCGTTGTTGACGTAGCCATCGGTCTCTGCTCGGTGTCAGCGCAAGTAGACAGCCAGGGGGATGATAACATACGTTTTCCAAATGAAGGCATCTGAAGAATTCCACTAAACATTCCCTGGTTGTATCCGTAGAGGACGCCACCAAGACAGGCAAACATGGCAATCAGGAAGACCTTTCCGTTCTTGACGAGGGCTGCAGGTCCACTCGCGCCCATGAGGGCCTGACGCCTTTGGAGCGCGACATCGAAGCCGGCCGCAGCACCGCCTCCACCAGCCATGATGGTGTTGGGTATGGGGGAAATGCGTCGGGAATTGACGAGAGGGCTGCAAAGGAGGATGTCTGAGAATTACCCCAGGTTACGGGAAATCTTATCCCCCCAGGCCTGGAGACGTCGACTTTATGTACGGTGTGGAGAAGCTGGGCACCTCAGCACATATCATCCAAGATCCTGGCATAGGATCACGGCAGTGTGGAGAAACATTGGTGCACCAAGGCTACCCAGATGATCGGTGGGCCATTACCGGTAGATGCTGTTTAACCCTTCAAGCATACCAAGGCTAAACGCCTCTTCGGCTGCATACTGGCCGCCGCTTGACTGGAGCCAGACGAGCGCTGGCCGGGCAGTAATTGGATAGAGGGACAATGTAAGCCTCCGCCACCCGGGGTAGGGTGTGCTATGTCCGCCACTTATGTCGGGGTTTTGCGCTCGGGTCAGCGCCCAAAGCCTATTCCAGATGCTTTTTAGGCTAAATTGCTGGCATGCTGTGACGACTCAGCCGAATGAGACCACGTCCGAGGAGGGCGTTGAGGGCGCCTCACGGTAAATCCAATAGACTGGCTGCATTCACGAGGCTCGCGCCAGCAACCTCCGACCGTGGGAACGCGTGGCCGTGGTCTATTCTTCGACGCGGGACATGGGCGTGGCCTGGCGATGGCTAAACAGCAGCGTGTTGGAGTCGGTGGCATTTCCCCCCCCCCTCGTCCGGGGAAACTGGACATGTGATGAGCGGCGGGAGCCCACAAATTGCTGTAACTCGTGGAAATGACGGTGCAAGGTCATGCCCCATCGAGCACCAACAAGCGGATCTGCTTCTGGCCTTTGCTGCCCTTGGACATGGGAAAGTAATACGAGCGGTCTGTCTTAGCAAAGGCAAACGTCTGAAATTGAGCCGGGTTGCCCGAGTCACTGGCACGGCGTGCCAGAGATGAAGGAAGAAACATAACCGGGGATGTGTCTGCTTGCGAAGGAAATTATCAATATCGTAGCATACAAGGCTTCATGCGGTGTCGTCTTACATACGGGAGTAGTCTGGGCGGTCGGGTGGTGGCGGGCGGAGGCCCACGGGGAAAAAAAACGAGCCCACGCGCGCCCCACGCGTTTCCCACGCGCCGTTGCTCCTGCAGACACAACTCCTACACGACACGTTTGCCCACAATACCGACGCCTTAGCACCCATCTATATCCAAACACGGTGAATCCTAAAAATAAACATGGCCGTCTCCATATTCCAGCGGAAGGCGGACTTTGTGTACCTTGGTTTCTTCGTCACACACGTGCTGGTTATGCTCTGTAAGCCCTCCACATTTTGCGCCTCTCAAAAAGCCTATATAGGATTCTCCACGTGCGCCTGCAGCATTCCCTGCCAGCCTACTATGAAAAGTGTATCGCTATATTGTTTTCCTGAAACGTCATGGCTGCCGCCAGCGTCCCGGTGGCTTTTACTCTGCTGCTTCTACACCAATCCCTGGTTAGCACATCATCCGAGTATTCCACGCTACGACGACATTGGGCGTTTTTCAAGATGAAGGCTTTTCTAGAATAACGATTATCGGGGATAATAAAAGATTGACTTGCAATTATTCAGCAGGACATGAGAATTCGCTCGCTGACGCCCAATCCAGCATTCGATCTATCGGGCTTCTATCCCGTCCAAATTAAGCCTCTCTGGATGTCCTCTCTGCGGGACTGGTACATTGAAACATACGGCGACCGTTTCTTCTACAAGACGCCAGTTTGGTTTTCTGTCTATACCTTCCTTGAGCTAGTCTACCACCTTCCTGTGTCGCTCTGGATGATTCCCGCTCTGCTTCGCGATGACCCACGCGTCCCTCTGGTGATGCTGGTCTACTCGCTAGAAACAGTGCTAACGACTCTGACGTGCATGGCTGAAATGCTGAGTTGGGAGGAGCTGACTCCTGCACAGAGGGGTGTGCAGGGTTTGGGTGGCATGTACGGCGCATATCTGGCTCTCGGTAAGTCTGAGGTTGATGGGGGTGAGCAGCCATGTGTGAGCTAATACGAAGTATGCGTCTTCATGATGCTTGATTGCTATGCGAGGTTGGATCGAATTATTGCAAAGCAACACAAAGGTTTGGTGCCAGTGACCAAGAAGAAGCTGTGAGGCTTCTGCTGCCACACAGTAGGAACGCTGTATTATTGAGCCTACATGTGCATAACTTGGGGAGGAAAACGAGGTGTTCAGAGTTGATTGGCAGGTCAAATTGCTTTAACCTCATTGGGAATGTTGCTGCAACTTGTGCGTAGTCGATGTTGCTAGAGGTAGATGAGTTCCATCTTGGAAACAGATGAGATGAAGATATCTGATATTGGTGTAGTGGTCGTGAAGAAAAGTGCTACAAGTAATCAACGTCATAGTAATGCGCTTCATTCTCTATCCTTGATCTGTGCCACCCACTCATGCCACCATTTTTTGACGGATAATACACATCATACCAGTTCAGTGTCCAAATCCTTGCTTCATTCTACGTATACCCAACCCAAACGCCTATAAAAAATAAACGCCATCCACGCCATGAACACCGTTGGCAGTACAAACCCAAAGAGAAGAGTGAAGAGAACATGACCCATACAAGGAGCGGAGAGGGGTAGATGCCCAAGACGAGCAACAATGTCGTGGACCACAGCTATTGGCGACGTGTAGCTGCACGCCAACAGTGCTGATTCTGCATGCGCTTGATACGTTTCACAACAGTCTGTCTGACTTTGCTTCAACATATCACGCGTCACTCTTGAGTCCAAAGTGCAGTGCCGTGCACTCGAGGACTGCAAAAGAAGAGCAGCATTTGCCGACATGCCATCGAATCCACGACGAGAAAAAGAAAAAGGAAAAAGAAGTGTCGTTTCGAAATCCCCAGATCAAACGTTTGTTCCCCCCTCCCCTGTTTTTTTTAATTCTTTTAGTTGTTTTGCAATTGCGCTAGTAGAAGACGCGAATTTCGTCTCCAGCATGCTCCTCCAGCCCCAGCTCCCAGAGCCGCTCGATTTGCTTCGCCTTCCCACATCTTTCTTCGAAATCCTCGCCAAGCCTCATCACGCACGAGAAAGCGACGTTCCAGCCGTTCATGCCAGCTGCATGGAAGGCTTCCATGATAGCCGCCTCACGGCTCCCGCACTTGATTAGTTTGTAGATCTGGCGTCCACCGTGTTGCGTTCCTTGGTACATGATGCCTTCGGTGTGGTAGGTTGTAATCACCACGCAGTAGACCAGCGATGTGCTCTTGAGCGCTTTCATTTGCTGACGAGCAAAGTGCAGGCTTGCGCTGCCCATTGGAACCATTGCCTGGCGCACAGCTTCGTCCACGGGTGTAGTAAGAGCAGCCGATGCCCATACTTTGGGGGTCTCGAGGCTGATCGGCATGGCTTGCGGCATCGGGCTGATTCTTTCTTCAGTGCACTGCACCATTTCGGGGATCCTCATTTTCCTCAATTGCGTCCTGCCTGGCTTCTCGTACCACACCTCTGTGTTGCAGAATCGTAGAAGCCACTCATACTCTTTGAAGTCGACCGCGTGGGCTGGGTGTCGCATGCGAATAATGTTGCGTCGGAACGGAATGATCCTAATAAAACGACTTTCCACATCGTTGTAGTCGTTTGACGTGTGCGTAGTTATGAGTTGGTGTGCGGTAACAACCTCGGTTATGGGGAAAAAAGGAGACTCCATTTGCGAGGGAGGCGGTGGTGGCGGCGGCGGTGGAGGTGGTGGAGGTGGAGGCGGAGGCGGCGGTGGCTTGAAATAGTCAGTTGGAAACAGCAAAAGAAAGATACGGAGACGTACTGGTGGAGAAGAGAAAGGGGGGAAAGAGGTCTGAAACCCCATAGGCGGTGGAGGCTGCAGAGTACTTAGTTGAGTGCTTAACATCATCCAATATATGCTCAACTTACAGGTGGAGGGGGTGGAAGATGGAAATTCGTGGAACTCAGGCGCCTGGCACATCGAATAGCGGTTCCTTTGCTTACTGTCATTTCAGGGTGACTTTTCTTCATAGGATCATGTTCTTTTCCACAAAGTTCTGTGTTGGCATCGTCCTCCTTTAACCCTTTCTTTGCTTTTGGACCACAGCTGCCTAGGTATGGATCATCCCGCCTCACTTCTGCGCCATAACACAAGTGCATGAAGCCAGGAGTGTCGATGCTCAAAACACTTGTCGTTGAGACTGGGCTCATTCCCATGCCTGAAGCTATGGGAAATTGGACATATTTCCCAGGTGCACGGTGGTGTCCATGGCTTGATTCGATAACCTGATCATCTTCAGAAGAAGACTCGGGGGTTTTCGTGTCAGGAGATGGCGGCTCGGGCGAGGGGGGCTCTATGAGCGATGAGATTATGTTCATCGAAGGACCCCTATCGACGAGGACTAGATCCTCATCCATGAATCGAAAAGGGCCTGATGGCGTAGCTTTGGTATATATGAACGATAGAAAGTTTCCAGACGGCTTGGGATCAAATTCTTGGTGTCTGTATGCTAGAAAAGAATTTTGAGGCAGCAGAGGACGTGGCTTCCACTTCCCCGATTAAATACTTGGAAATGAGCTTGTCGCCTGCCTAAGCCAAGGCAATCTAGTGACCAATGTGAAGCCTGCTTCCTGAGAGGCTTCATAGCCTTATGCGTACTACAGCCATTGAAGCACATGAGCAGGGAAAAAGCACCAGCTGGGTGGTTATTGGTCTGACGTGCTGCGGTTCAACCACGTCAGATAAACTCAGCTGTAACTACGTGGTCGGGTAGACCGGTCACTTTTCTTTTGCTATGGTCCCGCACCAAGGGGCATTTCACGTGGCGCTGCCTTCGCCACCACCCTCAGAATTGGGCTGAGAGGCATGATATAAGTAGAAACCTACCGTGAGGGCTGAGTGATTACTCGATCAAACAGGGGTAACAACAGACGCATCGTTGGTGATACACAAGACCGACAGCGATTGGAAACGGTAGGTTCGCCTCATTTTCTCAAAGCCCAAACTTTCCGCTAGCATACGCGGTGCTACCAAAAATATGCAGTGATCTCGACTCGAGGCTCTGCTTTCTAGCCCGGTTTTTATGCCATGAAATGAAGCAGACTTTGTGGATGCCGACTCATCCCATGTTTGGAGAGCTGATCGTTGGCTAGGAATGAGGCTTACTTGCTCGGGAGATGATTCCCAGCAAAGCGTATGCGGGTAATGGTAGTATCCAAGGACAGTTTATCAGAGCAACCTATTGCCTGCTGTGATAAAACTTAAATAAGTGGTGATGCTGCAGGACTGTGCAGTCTCTAACCCCGCTATCTCAGTTTGGTTCTGGCTGGAAGGCCAAGCTTCGAGTTCGCCAGCATATGAGCTGGGATTTCGATCCGGGGCACTCATTGGACGATGGTAAGTTTCCATAAAAGGCGACAGGCGCTCAGTTTGCGGGGCGAGGCTACCCGTGAGCTTCCGTTAAACAGTCAATCCTTCAGGATTCCAGTCGTCAGTATAGTCCTCAGGCAAACCTAGAGTTTCTCAGCAAGCTTGAAGATACCATGGCAGACAAATAGATCCTCCCGTGCTCTTGCCTCTTAAGAAGCCTGCGATTGCCAATAGAGATTCATATGATCTCAATTTCCGCTCGTCGAAAATGTTGAAGACTTCAAACGATAACAGTTTCATGCAAGCCAGGCCTCGTGTGATGGGTTGCGCAGCTTGCATGCATATGCAGTCGTTACACCGCTTCCTGTACTGATTGTCATGAAGAGCGGTCAAAAAAAGTTTAGATATCAGTGATAGCAGCAACTAAAGTATCGAAATGGATTACTGAAGAGAAGGCAAGCACATCACCGGAGTGTTGGAGTCGTGTGGTAGATGAGGCTGATACAAGTCATGCAGGCACCGCGACGCTAAGCAGAATGAGGCTTCACCGGACACTTCGATCGCTACCCGTTTCGGTAGATTGCTCAATTTCGAGGCAACCAAGAAGGTAAGAGAAAAGGCATAATGGTGAGAGAGATATTGCCTTGTTCCAGGGTGGGGTGACTCGGAGAGCCCGATATCAGCCGAGTATTCAATGGCGTGCTCAAGGTATATGCCGCGTCATCTTTGTAGAGGAAGTACATAAGAGGGTATGTCCCCTGTCCAGAAGACAAAACGATATAGAGATAGATAAGAAGTTTAATGAAGCCATGGCTCAAATCAGATGCTGGGAATGTATGAGGGCGTTCTGGGTTTAAGTATACAAGACGAACCATGGCCCTTGCGTTATGTCATCCAGCCTTCTGGAAGAGGCCCTCCAATATAGCCTTGTATCAGGCCATATTCTCGATTGGACTGTCAAAAACGTCAGCCAGCCAGAATAGGTTGTTGCATAGAATCCGCCGTGATGCAGCAACAACCTGGGCTGGCGTACCACATAGACAACCATCAAATATTTGAAAGATACCGAGTTTTTCCCTAACCTGTACATTTCTCAATCCAGTAAAAGCAGATGTACAAGCTAGAACAATGGTAACAAGCCAGAACACAACCCTCACCTTGATATGCACGTGCACCAAGACAGCTAGTGTGCCAAGCCCTCCCATGGCCCTGGCCAGCCGGCGTCATCGTAGCTCCCCAAGCTCACGACTCCACACCGAAGCCCTCATCCACGCCTCGAGCTCGTTGTCGCAGCCAACCCCCCCAAACCAACCTCTCGCCGCAGCTTTCGCACCAAACACCCACCGACGCGTCGCTCCCCGAAACCCACACGACCAAACCAACCACCAGCCTCGCGCATCAGCAGCAACAATAACAACACGCAGCAGACCAGCACAATGGCGAACGGGTATATATAACCCAGCGACTCCCCTTCTTTGCAGAGCGCAAACCCCGGAAGAAAGAAAGAAAAGAAAAGACTAACACACGCAGCTGGGCCCCCATCATCGGCCTCATCGTCGTCGCAATCTTCTGTGCCGCATCCTGGGTCCTAGCGCCAAAAGGCGAAAACCAGACGTACGTTTACCACCGCACCATTCCCTCGTCAAAGACGGCATCTCCGCCTTCCAAACCCTGTCTGCGTGTCCGGTCCTCGTCCGACGCCCTCGATGCCTGCGCTGTCGCCCCCGGGGAACATGGCAATAGTAGTAGCAGTAGTAGCAGCAGTAGTAATAGTAGCGCCGCCGGCGGTGGTGCGAAGCGCGTACACTTTGCCCATCACGATACCGACGAGCCGTACGACGCCCCCGAGAAACGGACGTGACACAGACAGGGCAGCAGCAGCAGCAACAACAACAACACCACTACCATCACTACCACCACCACCACCACCACCATCATCATCATCATCAGCCACACAGCGAGCGTTAAGGAAACAAGGGGAACAACAACACATCTTGGCTAACTTTTTTTGCTTCCGGAATATAGGGTTTGGCGATCTACTCTCGTGCTTTCTGCTGCGGCCATGTACATCATGTGGGCTATTACTTTTCTGGCACAACTTCATCCCCTCATTTCGCCCGTCCGAAACGACCTGCGACCAGAATACAACGGCGGTCGCTAGTATGTGTTTATTTTTTGGTTGGTCGCTTGGCGCATGTTAGAGTGTGAGTAGGAGCAGTAGTACTGAGAAACAAGGGTGCTCGGAGGGGGGGGGAAGACAGGCTGAAAGGCAGGGCAGATAACAAGGTTATCGGCGTACGCTGAGAGAGAGAGAGGGAATGCGCCCGCCATACGTGAAGGAATTCTCTTTTTGCCGAGGGAGACTGGACTGTGCCTAGAAAGAGAGCTGAATACGGAAACAGTCATGTTGACCATGTGTCGAAATCTTGCACGCGCAATTGTATATCTGGTTAGGCGCATTAACGGATCTTCGTTTTTTCTTATCTTTCCTTCTTTAGGCTTGTACGAATATCAAATGGGGGTATCATATTATGCTTGAGAATGCACCCACACACACACACACACACACACGTCCATGTCACGGAGGACCACTAGTCACGTTGCCCGCCAAACCCCAAAGCGTGCTAGCCACCGTCCACTCACTCAAGTAGCCTTCCCATCCTGTTCCGAGCCCCGCCGCGCGCAATATCGCCCACCCGACCAGCGTCCTGATTCCCGCACCGACAGCGACCAAGATGCCCGCGCGGACATAGCCACAGTCCATGAGGATCTCGAGGGCAGCAATGTTATTCACAATGACAGCCCAACTCACCGCGGTTGCGGAGCTGGGTAAATCGTAATCCCAGATGATGAGCAAGATTGGAAACAATTTCGTGCACGACGAGACGAGCAGTGCTGTCGACAGAGGCGTCGGGTTGGGGAAATACGCTATGCATCTCTGCCACAGCGTCTTGACCGCAGTGGTTAGGCGCTCCGGGTTATATGCGCACAGCAGGCGGATGGGTAGGTGGAATGCCAGCGTTGACACGAGGACGAGGCCGAGGAAAAACAGATACTGCAGCCCGAGCGAATACGCCTGGAGCACGGCAGCGTTCGTGATGCTATTTGGTGGCGCGACCAGCGGACTCGCAGATGATGTGTTATGCGACGACGACGTCGCCGCCGCCAGCAACAGGTAGTACGGCGAGGTCTCCGGCAGCGGAATCTTCTCGATGCGCGCCCACGTAAGGTACACGTCGAAGAGAAGCAACAAAATACCCAAGCGGACAATGGATCGCTATTCTCAAGTCAGCTACCCACACACATACTCAGTTCATGTGTGGAAGACAGAAAAGAGAGTACAGACATACATCAAACCGATTCTCGCCCGTCTCCAACCGATTAAACAGCAAATGGCGATACACCTCTGCCTTGATGAGCACGAGATCAATAAAGAGGATGACAAAGTCGTGCTCGACGTATTTGTCCGCGAATTTCTTGCAGTGCGGACATTGCGTTAGGCGCACGCCTTTGCCCAGCGCCCGGTCGTCGGCTTTCGAGTATGTCGTGTACAGTGTGCGCACGGGGGTGCGGCATGAGATGCAGATGGGCATTGTTTTTGCGCTTGTGGTGTGTTTGTTTGTTGTTCGGACGGTGAGGGCGGCGGTGCAAGGGGTAGGCGGTGGTGTTTTACATTGTGCATGGGTGGGTGGGAAAAGCGATGGACGTGGAGCGCGTGTCGTGGGAAGAAAGTGTTGGCACTGCAGGTGTGGGATGAAGATGGGTGACGAATGTTTTGGGGAAGCGCGGGTTTGGCGGGGATTAGGGAGTGGGGCGGGCTGCTTATGTCCGGCATGCCGCCCGTCTCTCATCAACCGTCTGTATACAATGAATCAGGGTTGAGGACGCAATTTCTTTCCAATTACGATATCTTGGTTTGAAAAATAAAGCTAGCTGTGGTTGTGTGGCCTTGCTGGCTTCTATTGCGTCTTGCCAAATGTGCTTGTAAGACAATAATGCTTTTGACGCCAGCTCCTATACTGATGATACACCCTATTCAACGCCTCGCGCTGCAAGAATGGTAACGGACAAAAACCCAAATGCACAATCATCGTTTCCATACATATTCACAACGTTCCCAATGCACCTGCTCTTCACGCCATACACGTCGCATGTCGCATGGGCGTTTAGCGAGCAGCTTCTTCTACAACAGCGTTGATGTCCCGCGCTCGCTGAACCCACGACTGATCCTCCAAGTCTCGTCCAAGAACGTCGCTACCAAGAATAATGCGCATGACCTCAGCGAGTCCGATTGCGTTCTCAGGTCCGCCAAATAGCGCACCTGTCCGCCTGCTGACGGCAGCCCACTGCTCGACGAGGTAGATGATCCACTTGACAAGCAGTTTGCGGTTGCGGCCTGTGAATGGCGGTTCTTGCGCATACCACAGTGCTTCAAGCGTAGCGACCAGGCTCTCAAATGGCGCATTTAGCTTGAGGAAGACATCGATCGGCCACGTCAGGTTTGAGTTGAGCGCCAAGTTCTGAGCGTTGGCTGAGTTGGCGTCATGGACGTAGAACTCCAAATCGTACTGCAGGATCAGTTGCAGGACAATGTTGACAGGGAAGACGTTGTCGTTCAGGTTGGTGCGGTGACCGAGATCCTCGACCTTAAGCGCGACGATCTCCCAGGGCGCGGCCTGCCGATCAGCGACAGCGTTCCGATGGGTCTGGTCAATGAGGTTGGTCCACGTGGAGCGAATGTCAGGTACACTGCGGTAGTCTGCAGCATGGTAGATCAGGAGACAAATGTCATAGTAGCCGGCCTGATCGGCGTAGTCGTGGTAGAGCTAGTGATGTCAGTGATGGTAGTTCAACCAGAGAATATAAACCTACCTCGTCAAGAGGGTGGATTTGACCATTGAGATGCTCGATGACGTCTTCTCTGCGCTTGCCAACGAGCCGCTCATCACCCTTGATTCGCTGCAACACGTCGTCTTGGATGTTGGCAATGTCGAGGTGATCGCTGATGTTTCGCAGCAGTTCTTGCCTGGATTGCCGGTTGCGTACTCCGGTTTCGGAAAATCCAGTCATTCGTGTAGAAGCATTTGCCTTGGCCCGCGACAGATACTCAATCCTCTTTTCCAGCGTCAGAGGGAGACTGCTTTTTGCGAGCTGGTATTGTGTCTCAGCTGCGCTCAGGTAGTCGTTGTAATGCGCATAGTAGCGCCACAGCAGATCCGCATGGGCCAGGTTCGTCTCTGAACTTTGCCGTAGGTAATCGACTACAAACGGCGAGTTGATCTCGAGCAATCGCTCAGCCCATCCATTCTCCATGTACCAATCATACAAGTAGTTTTGGAAGACTTCGTCTTCTGAATTGTTGATTTGGTCATACGCCTCGTGTTTGCGGCGAGTAACCTGGGAAATGACACCATCGGGCACAGGGCCTTGGGTGTTGTAGGCATAATCGACAGCCTCGATCACGTTGCAGACGAGCGTGTAGCAAGAGGCGCGCTTTTCGTAAAAGTGACAGCGCGGGTCGTTCACATCGCCAGCATGGTCGCGGGCGTCCCTGACCCAGGAGAGAGCTTTGTTGCCCCGATCCCATTCCTGGGCGACTTTGAGTGCAAGTCTGATGGCACCTGCAGTGTGTTAGAACAATCGAAACCAAAGACCAAATTAGCTTACCAGCATAGAATTCGAGCTGGATGTATTGGTTAACAGTCGCAGCCAAATTCTCGTAGCTCAGGCTCTTTGCCACCTGCTCAAACAAGCTCAGGCTGTCATTGAGCAAGATGCGTCCGCGCTCGGCATTTGCACCCATGTCGGCAGCCTTCTTCAGGCTTTCCTGTGCCTTGAAGATGACAACATCGTCTGAGCTACAGAAACTGCCACACTTTCTCCGAAGGGCCTCGGCGACTGACTCGACATTTGAGCCCTTGGTAATGTTGCGGTTGACAATGGCCTTGACTAGTTCCCTGGCGATTTCTCTGCCTTCTTTCACCGAGAAGATGCCCTGGAAGGTGAGTTGGCGCACTCTTGCTTGAAGTTGGGGGTCTGGTAGCAGAGCCAAAATGTCCTCCAAACGCTCCTCAAACAGGACAAGCACAAAGGAGATGCCCTCGACAATGTTGTTGACCATTTGCAGCAGGCTGGTAAGCGCCCTGTTCTCGCCCTGCAGCTCGACCTCTTCTTGCCGCGATGTTGCGCGTCCCAATGCCTCTGGGCCAGCCAAGCCTTCAATAAACGACTTGTTCGACTCCAGAAACTCCTGTAGTTGCGCCAAACAGCGCTGCACCTCCTGCAGTTTTGATATTTTGTGTGTCGAAGTAAGCGCCGGCCCGGCCGGGGTGGCTGTTTCGGTGATGATGGGGGTATTCCAGATGGAGCGAACAATGCGCGCAACATACATGGCAATACCATCATGCCGCGGCGATGCTCGGACGTTTTCAACGCTCAGGCCTTCTACAGTGGCACTCTCTGTCAAATGTGCCTTTCCACCAAATTCAATAAACACTCTGCGAGCAAAATCGAGTACTTCAGGATCCGTGACTTTTGCGATTCTCGAGTCGGGGCCAACATCCGAGCCTTGGCCGCATGCAACAGCCAAAGCGGTAGCCGAAGTTTCTGCCAGGCCATACTGCTTTGCGAGCTTGCGAATATCGGCTTCAGCACCTTCGGGGCCTCCGTTTTTGACAATGGAAGCGAAAATGTCGACCAGTCTCCTGCGTCGGACCGTCTCAATGCCATTGGACGTAATGATGGCGTACTCGCAAAGAGGCTTGTCAAACTGGGTAGCAAGCTCGTTGCCAAAGCCAAGAGGTTCGTTCCTTGCGGAGAAGGGCTCGGATACCAGGCCGATATCCTGCACCCGTCCCACGAGTTCTGTGAAAAAGCCGGTTTCGGTGTACCTCGGAGGCTCCGAGCTTTCCCGCTGGCCCAGCAAACCGGAGTGGGGGGCGGAAACAAACATGTGGTGGTTGGGGTCGTTTTGCGAGCGAAGGACGAAAGAGAAGAAAGCACCAGGAGGATATCTGATGCCAAGTTTAGTTTCTCTGAGCCACCTTGATTCGAAACCAACCGCTGTGCCTCCTTGGTATGGCTGTACTTGGGTTGAATTGCTCTGCGGCGAGGGCTGGCCGTCGTTTGGCGGGAACCGAATGTGTCGTAATTGCATGCTGCTTGGCGCGCTGGTGTTGTTTGCGCTCCATTGTCCGCCGGATGTTGTGCTCAGATACAGTCTGCAGCCTGACGATGTGATTGCCATGAGCGACAGGTTGTCGGCCTCGGTGCTCGAGATGGGACTCAAACTGACAATCTGCATCTTGTCCAGCACGCCCGTCGGCCGTACAATGTGCCCGCACATGGTCTCAATCTGTGTGCGTGTTCGGGTAAGGGCGCTCTCCAGGACATTAGGCGCGCGCATATAGTAGACCTTGATGGTACCGTTGGTAGAGAGCGTGTACAGCACGTTCCGGGTGTCGTCAATGGCCATCTGCATGATACCGGCTTGCCGTGTCGCTCCGTAGAATGGCAGTGCGGGCAGGCCGATCGAGGTGGTAACATGGTTGGTCTTGCTGCACTTGCTCGAGAACCACTTGTCCTCCTGTTGGTAGTTGAGCTCGTATACGTCCTCTGTCTGGCCGTCGCCAAAGAAGATGCGCCCTGTCGTGTCGGAGCCGGCGATTGCAGTCACGTTGATCTTCCTGACAGAGGTAGAGAGGCCAGTGCGATACATTGTGATGCCGTGAACACCCTCGGGTCCTCTCTGGCACTCTACAGCAATCAAGAAGATGTCTGACACGGTTGCGACGACAAGGAGGTATTCAATAGAGGCTACGAAAACACCCGCGCGCGGCCTGACCAGCTTCACACAGGTAATGTTGCTCGGTTGCTCCTCAAAGCCGACGAGCTCGGGGTTGGGGTGCGTGTAGTCCCACAGGTAGACCTGGTTGTCCACCACAACCCAGGCGTGATTGATCTCAGCGAACAAGCCCATGCTCGTCGACATTTGCGTGTGGTCCACCTGCTCGAAGACGGCCTCGGGGAGCTTGTAGGATTTCAGCTTCTGGAACGGCGCCCATGCTTGACCGCTCGGTATCTCGTATTCGCCCGAGATGCCCTCTGCACGCTGTCGTTAGCATGTCCCGCGCCCTGTTGCAATGGCGCCAGCTACTCACGTCCAATATAGGCCTCTAGGGCGGGAAACCGGTTGTCTCTGTCCAGCATGCTGTTTATGGTCCGCGCGGCGCGATCGATGGGGCTCTCTGCGGGCGGCGCAGGCAGCGTCTGCTGTTGCTGCTGCTGCGACGGCGGTTGCGACATGGAACCCGTACGAGCGAAGGTGGGTCGGTTTGGCGCAGGCGTATTTACAAAGGCGCCGGGGGTGGGGCGCTGGGGCGTCGCAGGCGCCATCTGGAAGGCCATGATGGGCAGTGTGTGTGTGAGAGAGAGAGGAGGTGAAAGGATGCGCTGGTCGCGGCTCGGGCAGGGCGAGCTTCAGGTGGAGGCTGGGGAAACGCGCCGGCGATATGACGTGCACATGAGCTGCGCGCGATTACCGGGGAGATGGAATGGCAATGAGACGCGCAGGAGAAAAGATTAAGAAAGACGGCTGGAGCGGTTCGCGACGCTGGGGCTCGGGTTCAAGCTGCAAAAGTGACGAGCGACAACAAAAGGTTGTGCTTGGCAAAAGACAGGGATTCGCTAGTAGCTGTTCGCGTCTGAGCGCGTTTCTGATGCTCGCAAACTTTCCCGGGTCCAAGTGGGCACTGTCAACTCGCATCCCATCCATTGCCGCACACGCATTCGCATACATATACCGTTCTGGCCATCATGTCCGTCTTCCGTGCTGCACTGCTGCTGCAGAGGCAGCTTGTTGCCCCGGCCCGTCTTGCAGGCATCCGCCATGCATCATCCGCTTCGACGCCGGAGAATGTGGTGCTGCCTCGCCTGCACGCCGACCTCAAAATTGCCATGCGCTCCAAGAACAAGCCGGCGCTGAACACGATTCGTGCCCTGCAAGCCGAGATTATCAATGCCTCCAAGACAGCCAAGCCCATCACGACAGACGGCGCCCTCTACTCGTTGATCCAGAAGCAGATCAAGTCTTCGTCAGCGTCGATTGACGAGTTCCGCAATGCAAAGAGAGAGGATCTGGTTGAGAAGGAACAGCTGCACCTGGACGTGCTGAAGAGCTACGCCGACGAGATACCCACCGTCAGCGAGAGCGAAGTGGACGCACTCGTCAAGAGCGTCGTCGAGAGCGTGGAGGAGGGCAAGAGGACGTTTGGCAGTGTCATGGGCAAGGTGATGGGGGGCATCAAGGGGCGGCCGTTTGACGTCGAGTACGTTAGCAAGAAGATCCAGGAGGCGGTAGGGGCGAAATGAGGGGCACGATGGACTACGAGTATGAGCAGCGCTGGCGGGCGACGACATGTATGCGTAGTGTAGGTGTACAAAGCACGGCACATGTAGACTACGGACCAGGCTCGTCATGATGAAAGTGGGCAGCAGCGAAAGCGGCGGCGGCGGGGGTTCGGCGTGTTGCAAAAGGGCCTACAGGTGCATTGGGCATGGTGTGAAGCTGGCCGACTTGGGGCGGGCTAGGTGTTGCTGCCGCGAGCATGTGCATGCGTGCTCGGGAACATGGCAGGTGTGACAGCCCAACGTGGGTGTGGATGTGGATGTGGATGTGGATGTGGATGTGGATGCGTGCTGCGTGCTGCGTGCTGCGTGCGCGGCCATGGGCGGGAGCATCAAACGGACGCGCCCCCCACTTGTTTGCATACGCTGGACTGTAGGTGTAGGTGTGGGCGTGGGCGTATGTTGGGTGCACATGGCAGGGCGTGTGCGAGTGGGCGAGGGTGCATTGGCCGTGGTGTTGGTCTTGTGGCTGAGGGCGCACCCCTGTCGCGCGCTTCCAAGGTTGGCGCAGACTGACGTCACGGGCTCTTTTGCAACTTCACCGGCGCTCCCACCCGACATGCACCCCGTCCTCGCATCCAATGCCCGCGCCGAATACTCACGACGCGTCGGGATGGGCCTGGGACACGCCCTTGCCCTCGGCCAAAAGACGACGACGTCGCTGTCTCCATTTGGCCCGTGACGCCGTGGTGCCGCAGACAGATTGCCAGACTACTATGTAGACATGTAGCCGCGAACAAGCCCGCACGCCGGCCGACATGCCCAAGACAGGCGCCCAACACCAAGTCGTGTGCATGAAACCGAACCACGGGCAGGGGGCCACGCCTCAGTCGTCCACTCATCCACTCATTCATGGCAAAGAGAGGCACGGCCCAGCGCCCGGCCAGACGCACACGCAGACGCAGGGTGGGCAGCATGCTGCATGCCGCCCCCCCGATGACGAAGCCCGTCGCTCGTCCTGCATCTAAAGCTGCCGCCGCCCTCCCACACCCACCCCATCCATTCTCCGGGGCGTCTGCGGCCGGCCGCCTTTATATTCCTGCTGCCTTCTCCTCCTGCGCCGTCATCCAGCCTCTGCATCGCCCTCTGTGGCTCTTGTCTGTCCCTTCTTTCGTTACTGGCAGCCGCCCCTCCACCTGATACCTAGCCCCGCACCACACCACACCACACCACCTCATACATCGTCATCATCGTCATCATCGTCACCACCACCACCACCACCACTCGCATCCCAACAACCCACGCCCTCCTGCTCCACCATGTCCGTCTACCGCTCATCGACGGGCAACCTGGATCGCTTCGACGACCCGCCTCGCGCCACTGAACGATGGGACCGCGAGAAGTTCGAGCGCATGCGACGAAACGCCGCCGGCGGTGGCGGTGGTAGTGTTCGTGGCCGCCCCGATGAAAAGGAGCACTTTCGCTTCCAAGAGCACGAACGCTTCCCTGGAGGCCACCGCGACGTTGACATTCACGAAGACCGCACTCGTCGTGGCCCCGCTGTCGTGGAAAGAGAGCGCTTCTACGAGAACGATCGCTACGACCGCCCCCCGCGGAGAGCCCCCACCGAACTGTTCCATGAGCCAACACCATCCGAGATTGCCAACCAGGCTCTTGCCCCCTACCGTCGTCGATCTGTGATTGACAGGGACATCGATATCGACATTGACATCAACGAGCGGCGCCAGGCTCGCCCGCCCAAGCCGCCTCGCCCCCAGTACGTTCGCCGCCAATCGTCCCTGGATACCTTCGATCGCCGGGCCATGCCCCGATATGGCGATGTCGAGAGGATCGAGAGGTACGAAACCCACGAGTACCGCCCGCCAGCCAATGTCCCCATCCCGCTTCCCATTCGCGAGCGCCGATCACCTCCTCGCCGTTTCCTTGACGATGAGGACTTTGAGGAGATCAAATACGATGAACGTAGCGGAAGGGGTCACGAACGCGAGGACTACCGCGAAGTGGAAGTCCACCGTGAAAAGAGCAGGGTGCGAAGAAGCAAGAGCAGAGCCGCGAGGTCAACACGTAGCTCCTCCATTTCTAGCTTTGAGGAAATCCAGCCTTCTCGAGCAACCTGGGGCAAGAAGGGCAAGACAAGACTCCCCAAGCGCCTGGTCAGGAAGCAAGCTGTCATTGATCTCGGCTATCCATATGAAGAAGAGGTATGCCATCCGCTGCCCCAGTAAGACCATTGCTAATTACCCTAGGACGACTTCATCATCGTTACTCGAGCACTCGAGAAGGACCACATTGATGAAATCATCAAGGTCAGCGAGTCGTACAAAGAAGGTATGCATTCTCGAAGCTGTTACAAGTCTCGTCTAACCAGCAACAGAGAAAATCACCTACGTCTACGAGGAGACCCACGAGGAGCCTCCACGACCAGCGTCTGTTGCCCCGCCACCATCAGTTGCGCCACCGGCATCCGTCGCACCGCCACCACCACCACCACCAGTCGTTGAGGTTCCTCCACCAGCCTCTGTGCACGCACCGCCTCCACCCCCACAAGTGGTATATGCGCAGCCTCCCCCACAGGTAATCTACGCTCAGCCGCCGCCATCTCACCACGCACCAACCGTCTACGTCCCGTCGGAGCGTGCGCCATCTCCGTCAGTTCATGAACACGAGCGCGTCGTCGAAATTGACCGTTCTGCCTCTATCCATGGTCCGGCCACTGCTTTCCTCCCGGAACATCGCACACTTGTCCGCCGTGACGATCGTCGCACTGAGCGGGAGATTCGTGACGAAATCCGCTCCCTCGAGGAAGAACGCCGCATGCTCAAGTATGAGCGAGAAGGCGAACGCGAATATGAGTTTATTGAACGCCACCCCAAACGAGAAGTGATGCGCGTTGACAGAGACCGAAAGGGTAGGTTAGCCCTTGTTCGCTCGGCCCATTAGAACGACTCGTTGATTCCATGGTTATAGTAGTCCGCAAGGATCGACCCAACCCCAAAATCGTAGCCTTAGCTATGGGTGCGCTGTCTTGAATTGCTTCTCCCTGGAACTGGAGGGCTTACTGCTGGTTTTGTCAAGCTGCGCCATTGTCGACTTGATGGGACGAGCGCCTATGATTCTTTTTATCTTTCACTTTCTACGGCTGGACTTTCCATTATTCTATCTCTTTTGCATTCTATATGTATTTCCTTTATTTCTCCTTCTCTTTTTCTTCATCTTGGGGCTTTCGGGAGGCGCAATTTATACAGGCAAAGATCATACCCAATCTTTGGTACATGTCCAAGGACAAGCAAAGACGAACTTTCTGTATGATAACGAGAATTCTACGAAGAATACGATATGGATGAATTATGCAACGATTCTTGTCAAGTTTTCACTGGATGCATGAATTGAGCGCGCGAGTGAAACAGTCAAACTAGCATACTCATCTCCATGTTACTGCTGTGACCCCTGGACTTGGCCCATCCTCATGCTCCACGGGAGGATTCAAGTAGGGTCGTTAAGTGCAATCCAAACACATATTTCTATGTCACTAACGCATATACACTTGACATAAATACTCCAGTCTAACTTTCATGTTACATTTTCGCCCACACCAACAATCAGGACCTGAAAAACCTATACAAGAAAAAAAAACTCCGACACTCTTTGATAACGGGTTATCCATATTGCCATTTCAAATACGTTCTTTCTGCTTCTCCCGCGTTTCCCCCAAGTATTTCCCCTACTTACGCCCATTCATTCCCCCCCCCCCCCATCAACCCAGCGGCTCCACCTCAACCACAGGCCCCGTATACGTCCTCTTTGCAAACACCCAGTAATACAACACACTGAACAGCGCCACGGCGCCCGTGACTACGCCCGCCCAGTTCATCCCCGCAACCCCTGGATTCGTCTGGATGGGCCAGAAGCTAAAGAAGATGATGACGAGCAGATAGCAAATGGCAATTGCATTGTTAGCAACGCCCAGAGCAGCATTGAGGCGCCAGGGTCCCCAGGATATCCTTGTCTCGGCGTCGGCGTGACGGTGGAAATGTTCGTGGTGGAGGCTGGGAAAGGGGGATGATGAGGATGATGAGGAGGAGGAGGATGCATCGAGGTCGCCGCGGATACGGCGCCAGAATAGGAGGCCGATGGCGAGCAGGTAGGATAGGTAGAAGCCTTCGAGGACGAGCGAGAGCGTGCCGTTGAAGGCGGCGCTGCTGCCGATGTTGATGAGAGCCAGGAGTGCCGCGAAGAGGGTTACGGCTAGGATGGACATGACGGGGATGGTGCTGCGTTTGTCGATCTGCGGGGGTTTGTGAGCTATCCTTGTGCTTTTTAGGTTTGGACTCGAGTGATAAAGAACATACCATGCTGAGGGCCCGCGAAAAAGGAAGACCCCGATCGCGTGCAAACGACCATGTCATGCGCGAGGCAGCAGCAAGACAGCCCATTGCGCTGCAGAACTCGAGCAACACGATGATGGCAACCATGACGGTGGCACCCGCTTTCGAGCCAACCGCTTGGTGGAATATGCGCAGAAAAGGAGCTGTTTGAGCGCTTTCATCAGACAGCAACTGCGAGATATCCTGGGCGCTGAAGAGCACGGCGAAGAGCATGCCGAGGGCCAGCGTGCCGTTTATAACGAGGCTGAGCAGCATGGAGCGAGGGACATCGGTGCTTGCGTTTTTGACTTCCTCGGACATCTACAGCTCGTTAGCTATGCAAGAGCGCGAGTAAATAGCTGGGAGCGGAGTGGGA